TATTCTTTTTTACCCATTCTTTATGCTTAATAGAGATACTAAAGTTCACATAGTGCCGATCAAAGGTAGAAATATGGCACCAGGATTGAATATCTAGGGTGCCGGATGTAGTATCGAGATATATACCGTTATGAGAAAATTCAAGCGAAGTGATAGGTTCTCCGAAATTCTAAGTGCGCGTAAGCGCGTTAGCTGTCGGGTCCCAGAATCGCATAGTCCCATCGCTTGAGCCAGATACTAGCAGGCCGCCGTCAGGCGAGAATACCACTGAGTAAACCTAGTCGGAATGGTCTTTAAAGGTCTGCTTAGGTATGCCTGTCGCTGGGTCCCAGAGCCGTACTGTCTGATTACTAGAGCCGGATGCTAGTAGGCGGCCATCTGGCGAGAAGGCTACTGCGTAAATCGAATCGGAATGGCCTTTAAGGGTCTGCGTAAGTATGCCTATTATAGGGTCCCAGAGCCGCACTGTCTTATTATAAGAGCAGGACGCTAGTAAGCGGCCGTTAGGCGCGAAGGCTACTGAGTCGATTAAATCGGAATGGCCTTCGAGGGTCTGCGTGAGTGTACCAGTCGCTGAGTCCCAGAGTCTTACTGTCTGATCACCAGAGCCGGACGCTAGTATTCGTCCGTTAGGCGAGAAGGTCACTGAAGTAACCCAATCGGAATGGCCTTTGAGGATATATATGAGTCTCCCTGTCACTGGGTCCCAGAGCCGCACTGTCTTATTATAAGAGCAGGACGCTAGTAAGTGGCCGTTAGGCGCGAAGGCTACTGAGCCGATCAAATCGGAATGGCCTTCGAGGATCTGCGTGAGTGTACTAGTCGCCGAGTCCCAGAGTCTTACTGTCTGATCACTAGAGCCGGACGCTAGCAGGCGGCTATCCGGCGAGATAGCTACTAAACTAACCTAGGCCGAATAACCTTCGAGGGCCAGTAATTCCGTACCCTATCTTTCCTTAACTCGTGGTAACTGGTATATCTAAGTAGGAAGCGCTCTGTGAATTGTCTGCGGATTAATGCTATTTGGGGAGCAAATATAAGTCCTGCGTAGTACACCTAAAGGGGTGCTTAATTAATTATCTGGCGGTTTCTTAGGATGAATCGCTTTGTATCGTGAAAGAAAGCCGAATTCGAGTTGCCTTAGAGTTGTCAGTATAAATCATATCTAGACATTTTCGTAACTTATAGAAATAGCCGTTTGGAGGAGATTAAGGATGCCCAGTATCTCTGACGTAAGGCCGAGTAGGGCCATTGCTTCCACCCAGTGTAAAAAATATTTCTGCAAGAAGTTTCTCTGGAGAAACAATAGAGTAGTATATAAAATATTATCCGAGTCCGTATATTTCACTAGATAATATGCCCAGTATCGACAGGCGTACTGAATTCCCGGAGGGAGGTTGCTATTGACAGTCTAGCGATCAATATCTGAGCGTTCGATGCTATCACTCGGTAGTCCGCAAATGTTTTTCCGTAAATTATGACACAAGAAAAGGTATTCTTTAGCCAACCTATAATGTATTTCCGTCCTATTCACTCCGAAAGGGGTTTTCGTGCGGGTTTCCGGATCCAGAAGAAAGTCCCGAAACGATAGGTGAAAGACTCGTATAGGTATGGCTCTGCTATCTGGTACTTGAAGCACGGAGTGTAGTAGATCCAGTCGACGACTTATAAGACTCTCGGAAAGGTGAAGAATTTTAGAAAGTGAGGTGACTGAGAGCGGACTCTCTAAAACCACGAGGGCACTAAGCACTTGCTGGTACTCCGAGACTAACTGAGCTTTCTGTTTCTTATCTTTGGTGCAAATAAGACGGTTAAGGACCGGAAGGTATGTTTTATCTAACTTCGATTGGCTATATTAATATAAAAGGATCTCAGTCAGACTGTCCGCCGGGTCCTAAAATAGGTCTTTAAATATGTGATAGATAGTAGCAGCGAATATGAACAGTGGCACTGATAGCGATATAAGTTTTTGAAGATCTCTGTTACCGGGCTATTCTGCTGGTAGAAAGCGTTCTGTTCTGATTTCTTTAAGCCGATGATAAATAAAAATAGATATGTCGTGCTTTATTACTTCTATAGGAATGTTATAAAGGATTAGGTCCTTATGGTCATCGTTTATAAGATTTAAAAATCCCAGACGGATCGGTAGATTAGGCCTGCTAGTGAGGAGCACCCGTAGATAAATAGTAGTTAAGCTTCGTAGCTGTGGGAGAAGTCGGAGTATTAGCCGAATGTCTTTTTCCCCCTCGCATTCGTCTAATGCGTTAATTACTATCACTATGGTCTGGATAGGGATTTTGGATCGCTTAAGACTTTGAAGTGGCTGAAGAAGGAGTTTTTTAAACTGCTCCCGTATTGTCTTTGTGATAATATTCGGGTTGTCGCGGACTGTTCCTGGAGGAATAGGGTGATCTGGGGAATACTAATCGCTAGCTGCCTTGCGATTGTCGGGATAAATTTCCTTGTATTCCCTCGATCCCCCTCGCCTCTCTTAAAAAAAAAGCTTGCTCCTAGTGACTTAAATTCGCTAAATGATTTTACTATAGATCGAGAGATAGTCGATTTTCCTATTCCCGCTATTCCATTTAACCAGAATATATATCTGCCCTGCGGTGACGAAGCCTATTCTCTGATCTGGGAGAGAAGATCGGTTCGTGTGCCTGGGAGACATTGATCTTTATGCTAATCTACGTATGAGTCGAACGTAGCTCCAGGAACAGATAGTAATTTGTCGTCGAGATCTGCACAAAAATTAGGACGATTAATACTAAATAAATACCCTCGTAAGATACCTAATAGAAGATAAAACTCGTTTGTGACCGAACCGTAGTTGATCCCTATCTCCGATCTATAATTATAGCCATGGAATGATACCCTTGAACCTATGGTTCATGGAAACAAAGGACTATCGTATTCAGAAGCAATGTGCGGGGTTGAACGACCCGAAGTCACAGGGAACGCGTGTCGGTATGTCAGCTTCCGGCCCTGTTATCGGAAGGACTGTCGGCCCGAACCGGCCTTAACCTGCTTACTTCAGCGCTAACTGCCAGCTATGAATATGATGCTATTAGCTTGGGTTATTATTGGTCCGCTAGGGCCGCGCTCGAGTCGAGAGTCCGCGTAGTATTAAGTGTAAACCGCCTTATATCACTCTAAGCAGAATGGCGCCGAACTTGAAACCGCCCTATCTCGAATTGATCCGTTATATGATCCAGAGTAACTCGCTGATAACCTCTCAGATAGCCTAAGCTGCGGAATGTAGCAAACAATCTATTATTTATATTCGATCTAACCTGAGTAATCGGGAACGTTAGAGCCCCTCGAAATTGCGTTAGACACTCGCGGAGTATCACGCCGTCTATATTGGAAGCGCTTTGCGGACATTCAAAGGTGACGCTGGCCTTATTTTAAGATGAGATAGCCCTTTTTCTCTAGGACGAATTCAGGAAATATATAACGATTCAAAGTATTAGCCAGGCGCCTAAGTCCGTGGGGTGGTCTAAGAAAGAAGCTCGATAAGTTGCGAAGGAACAAAATACGGAGTTGCGCGACTTCTATCTCCGCAATCTATCTGATTTTCGGTCGTACCATCTGGTTTTCGTGGATGAGTTAGGTTGTGATAAAAGGGCTGGCTTTTAACGGACTGGCTGGTCCCCTCTCGGAGTTACACCAGTCTACGTTTCTAAGTTTCATCGTAATAGGCGCTATCAGATTCTTCCTGTATATTCTTAGGACGGGGTTATTCTATAACGGGTTTTTTAAGGCTTAACGGACGCCGATATTTTCGAGGATTTTATTGAATAGCTTCTTCAGCACTGTAACTGGTCGGCGCCAAAGTCTGTTTTTATTATGTAAACGCTTCTTTTTACCGAACAGAGAAGATTTAGCGGATGTGCTCAGAAGCTGGTGTTAAGCTGGTATATCTTCTACCGTATTTACCGGGTCTTAACCCCGTTGAAGAATTGTTTTCCGATCTGAAGCAATTCCTTAAACGAAAATGGATTGAATACGAGGTGAACCCAGATTAAGGTTTTGATAACTTTCTGGAATGGTGTGTTGACACAGTTGGATCAAGGGTGACGAGCGCGGAAGGTCATTTCCGAAATGCAGGTTTAATAATCGATGAACTCTTATCTCAAAATATCTAGATATAGGAAGAATAAGCTATTACTTGACTATTAAACACGCGCGTGAAAAGCTTCCTCCCACTTATATGACTATCATATTCTCGACCTAGAATCTGATGTCCTTAACGAAACGCCGAGCAATACCCCACTTGACCCCACGCTTCGTGAAGTAACCTAGGTTTTTGTCCTTATCAATCTGCGCCAAGTCTAGTCTATCACTAGATGAAGGGCTATATCGTAAGCCTTTCTGACCTTGGCGTTTAATGTCTTATCACCCAAACGTGACTGTTGCGAGCTGCTGTACTGTATTCTCTCACGGTAATATTAAGAAGACCTGAAATATTAATGGCAGGAACGTCGACCAAAGAGGCAGTATTCCCTCTGGAAGTGTGGATTTTAACTACCCCGGTGCTTGTGGTGCTCTGTGGGAAGCATATTTGGAGGAGGAGAAGGAGAAAGAGGTCTCCCAGCAGATCATCGACTTACTTAGCGCCAGGTGGCCTTCCCCACCTGATTTGCAGTAATCCACCATAGAATTCCATGAAATTCCATGGGCTTTCTTTTCATACAGGTAATGTAATCTTATGTCATATATAACTGTAAAGTACTCGTCGCATCTTACTGAGCCCCTCAGTTTGATGCGGCCCGCTCAATGAAAGATCTGCGCTAAGGTCTTGGCGGTGGGGCCTGGAAAGAGTTTCTCAGAGCGTATTGGTCAAGGCGATTTCGAGAATGACTGTAGCCATGAAGATACGACCGGGCGCTACTGTATCAAGACGATCGGAACTCTGGGAGACGGATTTCAGGTAGTTGATATTATCTTCGATATAAACTGTTGTGGTTGTGTACCGAGCGGGAGCTAACCCCGGACCGATGGCGGACCCACCCGCGGGAGGGCCCGAACCCCCTCCCACAAACACCCAGGAAAGCATCACCAGTTTCTCAGTTGAGGATTTCCAGCCTCGAATATCGACCGACGCAGCCCAGATCATAGGGAAAAGAACGAGAAATGGCGAAGCATACACACCCGCTGAAGGCATAGGCCGAATCACCACCAGAGAAGTGTGGAAGCTCATCGACAGTCTCAAGGATATTATCCACCGTCAAACCACACTCATCGAATCCACTAAGGCCGAGCTATAAGAAGTGAAACACGACCAGAATGTTCTCCAGGAACAGAACGAAAAGCTCTATGAGGAAGTGCGAGCTCTGCGAATGTAAGTCGAAACCAGGTCACTGGCCCCGCCGCCCCGAATATGGGCCGCAGTAGCAACCAATAACGCCAGCGAGCCTCCTTATTCGAGCCACTAACGACCTAAAAAGGAACGGAACTGCGTCCGAATCAGTACCCAGAGAACACTTATAGACCCGACAGACAATGAAAATGGCGATGATAACACCTTCGGCCGGTACCTCCCTACAGAGACCGCTAACACCTATATCCGCACCGCGCTCCTGAACGCTCTATCGACATAAGACGCCTAGGTCGTCGGCATTGGGACCACTAAGACAGGCTATGTGATACAATTCAAGGACACAGAGTCAGCCGAAGCGGCACGCTATAACACTGAATGGCTTAACGAATTAGGAAATAATACAAAGCTGGTGAAACCGCGATTTGGAGTCGTCGTGCACCGTACCCCGACCGAAGATTTCGACTTAGAAAATGCTAACTCTGACGCTATTAAGAAAATTATGGAAGAAAACGATCTTATAGGACAGGGCTACCGGATTAAAGAGGTAGCCTGGCGTAAGAGAAAGGATAAGGTGCTAGGGAAGTTTGCATCGCTCGGAATATGGTTAGACTCCGCGGAAGGAGCCGAATTTATCCTCAGTAACGGCCTTCTGGTCGGCTAACGGTATATTAGTAGCGTAGAACGCCGAGAAATCAAGAAGAAGAGATGCTTCCGGTGTTAGTAGTTTGGCCACTTAGCGTGGTCGTGCAAAGAAACACCGCGCTGTGGCCATTGTGCGGGCTAACATAAGCGCTAACGATGCCTACCGGGAGTGCGAGCCCGGTGCCTCGACTGCAATGGTGAGCATACTATAGGAGACCGACAATGTCTAAGCCCCGCAACCTTCAACCCCCGTCAATGCTAGAGGCAAACCTACGAATATTACAGTTAAATATAATGAAATCGGGCCCGAGGATGGAGGCCCTCGTTAACGACCACCAAAGCCAGAACCTGGATGTACTCCTAATCCAGGAACCGTCGGTCACTACCTATCGAACCTATGTTAACCACAGCGTATGGCGCCTTTACCGGCTAACCGTCGAGGCAGATACGGTCAGATTCCGTAGCCTAATCTATATGAACCGGAACCTATCTACCTCCTCGCACCGTCAGGTCCTATGCGACCACCCCGACATCACCGCTATAAAGATCTGGACAGCTGAATCCCAGATACTTATTTTCTCTGTTTATATCGCACCCGTCCTACTATTCGTTCTAGGTGGGGCATCTGCAGAGCCAGCGCTCACCGTAATTCAGAATATAATATCAAACACTACCCGGGACGATCGACGACCTACCGGCATCATCCTCGCGGGAGACTTTAACCGTCACTATCCGACCTGGGGCGACAACCATATCCCACCACGGTTCATTGAAGACGTAACCGAGTTAGTCAACTTCTTTTAGACTAACGGCCTATATGGCTGCCTCCCTAGGGGGGACTGTGACCTACTGGTCCCTGAACTATCCAGGGAGGAACTCCACCATTAACCAGATAGTGACGGATCAACTAGACCGACTCATTAAATGCCACCTCTACCACGAAAACTACGGGTCCGACCATCGCGCCACATATTCGGAGTGGAACCTCTAAGCCTAACGTACCCTCACGACTCAAAAAAGGAAGGCCTACACCCGCGCAGACTGGACGAAAATTGGCGACGAGATAGTTAAGTAGGTCGGCCCATTGAAAGAAATCCAAACTCGACCTACCCTCGACGACAGGGTCCAGAAACTCATAGACGCCACAACAGAGACCGTGAACCGGCATACACCCGACACACGCCCGACTCCTTACTCTAAGCGGTGGTTCACGCCAAACCTCAAAGTCCAACAAACCAATGTTAATAAGTTGCGTCGGAGATGGTAAGAGCAGTATGCAATATTTGGACGAGACCACCCGCAATCTTTAGCCGCGTTCCAGGAGATGCAGCAAAACCGACGAGCCTGGACTCGGACTATTGAAAAAGCTAAAATATTATATTGGAGGAGGTTCTTGGACGAAGCTGGGGAAGGAAATTTCTGGAAAGCTGCTACCTATATGAAACCGCGAGGCAACTAGGGATGTATCCCGACCTTGAGGGTGGATAATCACGATATCACCGACAACGAAGATAAGGCGCAGGCCTTCCTCGACTCCTTCTTCCCCAAAATAAACACACTAATCACCAACGCGTCCATGGCGGCCCCGTTGGAACTCCCGTGGTAGCCTATCACTGAGCTCGAGATTCAACGATCCCTCAAAGCAGCTAAAGGAACCACCGCCCCTAGAGGAGATAACCTACCGATGCTTGTATGGAAACAGCTCTGGTCACACCTAAGGAGCGTTATCACCAAAATATTCAATACCTCAGTGAAACTAGGTTACCACCCGAAATAATGGCGGAGAGCGAAGATTGTGGTGCTAAGGAAGCCTAGGAAGCCAGATTACTCAACACTAGGTGCCTATCGGCCGATCTCACTCCTTAATACTCTAGGCAAGCTCCTAGAAGCAGTCGTCGCCCGACGACTCTTATACCTCTCAGAAAAGCACGGGCTGCTACCGTACACCCAGTTCGGCGGTCGCCCCGGAAGGTCCACGGAACAAGCGCTGCTGGTACTCTCGAACTCTATCGACTAAGCATAGTACAAACACAAAGTAGTCACCCTCGTTTCATTCGATCTAAAGGGAGCATTTAACGGAGTCAATAAGACGAGTCTAGACGCCTATTTGCGAACCAGACGAATCCCCCTCTGTGGCACGAAAATGGATTATAAGCTTTATGACGGACCGCTATGCTAACATAGGGTTCGACGACTTTTGTACCAAAACCGCGCCGCTAGCCAACGCGGGACTCGCGCAGGGCTCGCCGCTATCACCTATCCTATTCGTATTCTTTAACGCTGACCTAGTGGATTAACCCGTCACTATCCACGGAGGCGCTTTAGCATTTATCGACGACTACTTCCGCTGGCGAGTGGGCGGGTCGGCCGAAGAGAACCTGGCCAAAATACAATCCGAAGATATCCCCCGTATTAAGACGTGGGCACGGCGAACTGGATCCTGCTTCGCCGCCGAGAAAACTAAACTTATCCACCTCACCAGGAAGAGAGAAAACCGGCTACAAGGCCAGATAGTTATAAATAGTATAGTTGTCTAACCCTCACCTATAGCTAAGCTGCTGGGCGTGGTCTTTGACCATAAGCTTCGGTGGAAGGAACACGTACAGCAGGCGATCAAACGCGCAACCAAAACCACTATCGCTCTATGTGGGTTGCGGCACCTACGGCCTGAACAGATACGACAGCTTTACCAGGCATGTGTCACGCCGGTCGTCGACTACGCGTTAACCGTATGGTACGACCCGTTAAGAGACAAGACCCATCTGCGACACCTAAACACAGTACAGAGAAGCTCGCTGATCCGCATCTTATCGGCGTTCCGAACAGTGGCTATAACGGCGTTAGAAGTAGAAGCGCACGTTCTCCCCACCTATCTTTGTCTTCGCCACCGAGCCCAACGCACTATAGCATAGCTGCACACTTTGCCTTAGGAATATCCTATCTGGAGCGCACTGCCACGGGCCCAGAGACGCAGAGACAATATGAGGTCACGCTTCCGGTTTCCGCTCGCGGAAACTCTCAAAACTATGGACCCGGTCAGGTTGATAGCACTAGAGACGATCGACCCACGACCGCTGCCACCGTGGCGTCCAGATCCTTTCACAGAAATTAAGGTCGGCTTAGACCGAGAAATAGCGAGAGAACGGGCCGAGACCGTCCGCTTAACATCAGACATAGTCGTCTATTCGGACGCCTCCGGTCGCGATAGCCACTTGGGGGTAGCTGCGATAACACTAAACAATAATATAGACGTAGTTAAATCACAACAGGTTTAGGTGGGGCCGATGGATCGCTGGTCGGTTCACGTGGCAGAGCTGATTGGCATCTTTTACGCGATTAACATAGTCTTTAAAATAGCGCACCAGCGGATAGGAGCGGAAGATCAAGAGACAACCGCGACAATCCTATGCGACAGCAGGTCAGCGTTACAGGCAATCCAAAATATAGCAAAGAAGTCAGGATAACGGATTGTTCACGCAATCTACCAGTCCGCCACCGAGATCCAAACTGCAGGGATTGCGCTGCGCCTTTAGTAGGTGCCAGGGTATTACGGTGACCCCGGCAATCACGCCGCAGACCGAATGGCGAAGGATGCTACCAGCCTAGGCAAATCACACTTATTCCGGCCGCTGCTCATAAGAGAGAAGGCGTTCATTCGTAGCAATATTATCGCCCAATAGGAACAGGAGTGGAGATCAGCCAGTAAATGCGGCCATCTACAGAAGATCGATAGCACTCTGCCGTCGGCATATACCAGGAAGCTATACGGAAACCTGGCCAGGGGCCAGGCATACTTGTTAACTCAGCTACGCACGGGTCACAATTGGCTATCCACCTACGCTAAGCTCTTCGGCTTCCGCGAAGATAATTAGTGTGTGTGCGGCGCGCAAGAAACAGTCACCCATGTACTGGTGGACTGCCCAATATTGAAGGATCTACGAAGGGTATTGAGGCAGAAAGTGGGGGACGCGTTCAGCAGCGTGTCGAGTCTGCTGGGAGGCTCAAAACAAGGTGAGAAAGGTAAACCAGACACCGCCTCGAGGGCGAAGACGGTCCAGGCCGTATTGGACTTCGCCGAGACGTCACAACGGTTTCGCAGTCGCGCGCCACGAGGGCAGCCTAACAATGGGAGCGGCAATTAGGCCACGGCAGGCCGTGACGAGGCTCTAAGTTCGTTGTCAGGAAGTGGGACAATTTACATGTACGCACAGGGATATATATAGTTGAGGTAGCCTGCATATCGTCGTCGAGACGAGGGGTCAGGGTAAATGAAATCATCATCATCATCATCGACTGTAGCCACATGCCCCACACAAGTAACCAGGGGAGATAGGGAGAAACGACACACACTCTCTTAATCTCTCATTCTGGCTTTTGAGACCATGACGGCATGCCTCTCACACCATCCGGGTAGATAGAGAGCCGAGTATTCGAGACTATCGGGAGGACGAACCGCAGGATAGTACTTTGTCCTATCGGAAAGAGCGTCCTGTTCAACCGTTTTCGACCGACGCATTCGGTTCGGAGTCTGCCAACCGATCATCTCAGGAAAAAAAGGTATTTCGGGCACCCCTTTTCCCGGCCGAAATGAAGCCAGCTCTGCCGAGACGCGAGACAGGACCCAGCGCTTCTTCTACAAGCCACCAATTTTCAATGGCGGAATCATTGGAACAGTGAGTCCTGGTCGCATCTGCCACTGATGATGATTGTTTACATAATTACTATCCGGCAGGCTTAAGATACGAGTGAGGTGAGACTCTCTGATCTATGCTCTGAAGCTGCGGCACTGTGTTCGCAGAGCGTCTGTATCGCATGACTAGATGGTTTCCTTCGGACACATCAGGCTAATTTAACGGACAGGACGATTGAATATAATATGATTACTCTGGGGGCAAGAGCGTAGTGACGATCAGGCCACCGTCGCGGAGCTGAAGGAAGAGATCAGGGATCTAAATGAGATCCTCGCGGCAACGAATGCGCGATTAGACCAGGTGTGCAAGGAAAAGGGGAGTCAACAGTCCAGCGGAATCCTTCACGCAAGCCACGGAGAGCCCTGCTAGAGAAAGGTTAGCGCCGTTCTTGCCTCGAGTAGTTCTGTGTCCAGAATCCAGCACTCTACCGTCGAGTGACCTAGAATGCAACTCGCTGTTGTTTAGGGTCTGTATGAAAAGCGCTGTGCCGCGGCTCGGAGACTCGGAGGGACTTCGGCCCACATGCTAGTAGAATGACAAATCAGAAAAGGCTATAAGGACGAATGCAGCAGTGCTTTGTCCTTGTTTCGGAGAAGACTCGCACTTTCCAGAATTATGACGCTCAACAGTGCCAATACCGGGTCATTTGCGGGTCCATCCGCCGGTGGTGATTATGACCAGAAAGGGACATAGACGCGCGCTACTTCATTAGCGGGGGAACAGCGCGCTTGCCTGGACCATAGTTCGGAATCAGGGTACGTATTTGAAAAATGTCAGAAAAAGCGGAAAGAATACTTTACGACTAGTTTAGTACCACGCCACGACCTGGAGACTGTGGGTCCCTAGTGGCTTAAGGTAGAAACCGTTGAGTCGCATCTATGCGGCATAGCGAGAGAGGAGCTATTGTTCCAGTTGCTGTGATGCCTCTGTCACGAAATTCCAAATCAGAGGTGTCTTGTCCCATTAGCTTATTTGCCGTCGTTGTACAGTTACTGTACCCGTGCGTATGATTCCTGCAAAGTCTAGTTGACGTCAAAAGTTCGAGTTAAGATCGTGGTTTATTATTAGGGTTGACCAGCAGGTATGTCTAATCTTTCGTGCACATTTTTTGTCTACATGGCATCAAAGCGAGGAAATCGGATATAGCGCTAAGAGTCTTGATCGCGTGTTCAAATAATGTAATAGTGCCTTATTGTGATGGCAAGCTCAGTTAGAACACCTTGAGGCGGCCGATATTGTACAGTAGATATGAAATTATATTAAACAGTCGCTGTTTGTCGAATTCATCCAAAGCAAAGCTTACTCCTCTTTCGTAACGAGAAGATGACGGTGTATGTAATCCTAAATTGACCGGGCCGATTCTGGCTGTCCAGAATGAAGGGCAGCTAGCACTTGTGTGGAGGGATCTGGTGATAGAATGAGCTTTATATATATAACCTTCTGGGAAGAAACCAAGTATCTTACTGTGTGGCGAGTCTGGAGAAGGTGACGAGCGCATATAACGAATATCTAGCGAGATCTGTAGCTTCTGGACCCTTTCCCATAGCTCCGGATTAGAGTTTCCTAACCTGAGAATTAGAGGGGACTCGGGTAACTCGCGGGTCTCGCGTCGAAGCCGATACTGTCTCTAAGATCTCCGGGCACCGCTTAAGGCAGACATTCTTTGCCGGCCGAGCCGCTTACGTAGGATTTGATATTTTTTGCCACGCAGAGATTCGACCGTGCGGACCAGGCGATACTATCGAAAGTATGCTCTCGATTTCGCCTCCTATGACAGTTCTTGGTTGCGGGATAGCTATGGCAGGAGATTGTCTGCTTTAGACTGCGACCAGCCGATTGTGTTACCTCGAGGCATTATAACGATAGCAATCGAACCCGGGAGAGTGTGAGAATGTTAAATGTCGAAATAGGAGAGTAAATAGAGTAGCCTTCCGGGGGTTAGGCAACAATTATATATCGATCTAACGGTGGGTTTCGAGGAAGGTCGGAGTTATTTATGGGCGCGAAGTCCGATCGATCGCTTTATGGCTCTATTTTTGAAAACGGTTATTAGAATAATAGGATAAACAAGTAGCTAGAAGCCCCTATATAGTCTAGGGCGCCTATGTAACCCTAAAAGCTCCAATACAGATTCAGTCGAGGGAAGGGTTTTCTCGCAGTAGCGTTTAAATATTAATATTTAGGAGGGTGTGACTCGACCTGCAGCTCCTATCCCCGCTCGGGCCCACTCCAGACTCTAGGGTAGTATACAGATCAGGTGTCAAACGTTTAAAGTAGCTGTTGTCCTCTCGAAAAGACAAAAGAGCCTGTTCTCTCCGCTTTAAACGCTGCTTAAAACAATATCCTAACGATCTATGACTCGTTTGCACTATATCTCCTTAGGCTCATTTAGCTTTCTTGAGTAAGTTGTATTTAGGATAATGCGTCCCTCGGCGCGGCCCTTTATTTCTATCCGTGGTAGATTATATAGGTGGAGAAAACACCGAGCTTCCGGTCTAGACTAAAAACCTCTATCTTTTTATACACGTATTCATTATTAGTGTCTCTTCAATTCCCGTAACCTGCCCTAGATATAAATTTACGTACAGCAATTACTAGAGGCCCGAGGTACAGTATACTTAATCTCATTTCGCTAGGTCTTCGCGTTCTTAGACAGTGTCTCGGCTGTTACTATATAAAGGGCGCAGAGGCTCCTCTCTTAACAAAGACCTTCGTCTCTGTTAAGAATAAACTTCCCCTCACTGTAATATTATTGTGTCTCGATCTATGTACAGTAGTAATATGTCTGACACTCAGATGTATCTTGTTAATACACGCCTAAGCCTTTGACTCCAGCTGGAGCAGATGTTAAGGTCAGATCCCATTGAGTCCGATTGTGCGTCAAGCCCACCCGAGTTAGTCGCAGATTCCCTACAGTATGATAATCAGATTTAATCCCAGTATGACGAAGGCGAGGTCGAGGCCCGGAGACGAGGACAGTGAAGCTGATGAAGACTTGGCCGCGTAAATGATGGATATGGGATCAGTTGTCGAATAAGAGCGGCAATCGGAAGTATAATTAGCCTCCGGACAAAAAAGAATATATGAAAGCGCTTGTTAGTGCTTGCATAGAGTAAGTTGCTTCCTGGTGTTGTGTTCCTATCCCGTATGCTGACACTAACAGATTGAATACCCGAGTCGTGTATGTTGGGCTACTTTATCTGCATTGGTTGATATTGGTGGGCTTTACTAACAATCTCCTTCGAGTAGGTTCACAGAAAAATGCTACAAAGATCAGAGAAGCTGGAACGATGAGATGCAATCTAGCGCGGAAGACCACCGGTCTCGGCAGGCTGCCATTGAAAAGAAGCTCGCAATAGTCGAGGCCGCCCTAGCAAATTTAATGAGCAGAATGGTAGTTATGGAAGGAAATACAGACGAGACCGGAGAGCACTCGGGCAAAGCTAATCCAAAGAAAAATCGCAAGTAATCGGGTCTGAAGCATTAAATTGCTATATAGATAGTTCTCGGAAGTGAGAGGGAGATAAGCCAATCAGTGATCGATATCATAGATTATAAGCTCGAACGGCGTTATAACATATCGTAATTTATTTTTTTTTTTTTATTATAGTATGCTCCTCCGCTGAAATAATTTAATTTCTCTTGTTGTGGCGTTGGTGATCACCAACGCCGGGCTCGTCGCCCGGTCCAGCCGTACTCGGCGCACATGCTTTACTTCCAAATGGGGACTACTCTTCCGCTTCCCCGGCCGATCCTGTTCGCAGCATGAGCGTGGCTCCACCGGTATGGGTAAATTACGATACTGTAATTTGCCGTGTCTCTTACACTTACGCAAGCATTAATCCAAATCATTGCTGGCCAATGAAGTCCCTGGACATCCCTTTCGAAGCTAACTGGTGCCACCAGCGCTCCTGCCCGTAAGCTCGTCCCGAGCCGGATTTCCCCCAAAGGATCCACTGGTTAGACGGGTCTGCGGTCCTTGAAAGGTGATGCCGTCACGCCTAACCGAGAAGAGAGCTCGTGCCGATTCAACCTGGACATTCTTGAACTAGCGATCTGCTCCGGTGTTCTCGCGCTGGGGGATATTTAGGATTATTATAGTACCATTGATCACCAGGCACTCGTTCCTTTTGGACCGTTAACGCCACTTCCGACGGAGACCAGAGGTACCCACCAGACTCTTACCCCTTGATAAGGATAAGAAGGTCTCGAACTATCATAGCGTCGCGCTATCCTTAGGCCTAGGACATAGAGAAAGGCCAGTGTGATTGTAGCGCGAGCCCGTGACACGGGAAGTTCAGATACCGGTTTCTCGCAGGCAAAGAGCTGTACTATGGCCAGAGATAAGAACCTTATTCTATTATGTAAAGGTTGATGCGGGAGACCGATCGCACGTCAGTCACATTATAAATATCTCGCTTCCACTTAGTTCTAGGCCCTCTTTTATGAGGCTCACTTACAATATGTACGAGGTCTAATCTATATCCTTGGGGCTCTGCTTGGGGCTCTGCTTGAAGCAATCGTGCCTTGTTAGCGAGATGGCTCAAAATATCGAGGGTATAATACCCACACCGGTCTAAAGCCCGCCTGTACTCCAGAGATGTCAGGTGTTCCGGTGGCCGAGGATCTGCGAAGCTGGAGCCACTTCGGGGGCAGCTTGCGATATTAAATTTTTCTTACTATATAAGTGGTATACCAGTGTCTTGGTCTTCGGATCTTTTTTCCCTAGCCACCCGTGCATAAAGTGCAATCGCTTTTGAGAAAGCTCACGCGCTGCCTTTACCTATTCGCAGCCGAAAAGAAAAATTGCTGCACGACGAGGCCAAAAAAAAAAAACCAAGATCAGGTATTGAAGGTTGAGTAGGTGCGGGTCTCCATAGCAAGGCCGATCCTGATCCACCCTGGACACGAAACTTTCGGGAAGGGGGACCAGAGAGGGGTTGGACCGCGGCTCCACGGAGACAAAAAACCTCAGTAAACTATTGAACATCAAAGCTTGCTCATTGGCCATGGAGGTCAACGTGGGTCCCCAGCGATCCCGAATCTGCCCCTGGGGCCGTGCGGCGGAGAGAGGCTATCATTGGTAGATCAGTCTATCCATTTCGAGACCCATAACTGCACGACACCTTGCACTCGTATGCATATGCACGTCTACTATAACTACAAAGTTGATGTTCAGCAAAGCATTTTAGAAGATTCTTTATCAGGCATTGCCACTACTCAAAGTGATTGTCAAATATTATCATCAAGGTTATTCAAAACGATATTGTGAAGTAACCCCGCTGCTGCATTTCTCCGTTAGGACAAAGACGTATATTGACCAGACAGCAGTGGCATTTGTTGCCGTGGCATTTGTTGGCTGCTCAAGGCAAAGTTGTTTGGGATAGGAAAGCCCGACAGAGAATTCGGATCTATTGTGCCAAATGGCGCCGGGGGATTCAGCTATGGCGCCTGAATTACTCCGTCTCCGGGCAACTGTTTCCTCCTATACTTATTCTCTAGAGCATTGATGTCGTTCAAGGTCATGTCACCGGTTGACATGAGCCCACGTATCCGATCTAAAATGGGCTGGACATCGGTCTAGTCAATAAAGCCCAGATAACCGTTCTGGGTATTATCCAGCTGCTGCTTGAGCTGAGAGACCTGACTCTCGAGTCTCTAGCTCTTAGCGACGGCTTGCTCCGTATTTTCCATAGAGGCACGGAGCTGCTTAGCCCCTTGCGCTTTGTCGGCGTTAAGCTTCTGCACTAGCCGGGCATAATTCCGTTTTTGCTCGTCCTTCTCCTCATTGAGCCGTTTGATCTCCTCGTCTAGCTTTTGAATGTCGTCTTCCGCTTTCTCCAAGAGCTTATCGCATACTTTTCGAATATCGTTCTTGTCGTGAGCCTTTGGCGATAAGGTTGCGAAGGGCGATGAGGAGGTCTAGGCGGTGTTAGATCGACGAATATTGATCCCTCGTGTGTTAGAAACCAGATGCAGTGACGACATACCTGACTTGCTCGCGACTTTATAACACGGCTAGTGGACTGAGACCCCGTGTTAATGGCAGGGCGTATGGTGTGACGAGAAGCGCTGTTTGGTCCACCGGACGTCGAGGAGGATTTAATAGGCTCTTTGGTCATCGCACTACGAGAAGACGGTGGGACTTTGGCTATGTTGGAATAATACGTTGAGCTGGAAGCAGCTTCAACGGAGATTATTCACAGGTAGCTTAGAGGTCTGAGAGAAATAACATAGTCTGGTGGCCAATCCAGACCTTTAAAGCGGTTCGGATGGTCGAAAAACAGTAGCACGTCTCCGGGTTCAATGTAAACGCACGCCGATCCTATCGCGTGCCGGCGTTTATGTCAACGCCAGGATTTGAGTTCAGAGGATTTGAGTTTATGAGATTGGGTAGCCCCGGCGCATCGAGCCGCGGTGGGCTAACGGGGCCAACGGGGTTAACGAAGCTAACAGAGCCAACAGAGCCAACAGCGCTAACAGAGCCAACAGAGCTAACAGAGCCAACAGAGCCAACAGAGCCAACAGAGCCAACAGAGCCAACAGAGCCAACAGAGCCAACAGAGCCAACAGAGCCAACAGAGCCAACAGAGCCAACAGAGCCAACAGAGCCAACAGAGCCAACAGAGCCAACAGAGCCAACAGAGCCAACAGAGCCAACAGAGCTAACAGAGCCAACAAGACAACGGTTTTCACCATAGACGCAAACACGCCAGACTCGGCATACATACATTTTTCGGGGGCTTAAATTCGAGGGCCGGTTACTCACCACCTCGCCTTCTCAGCAGGGAGCTTGGAATCCGGGTGGATTCCTCGCATAAGTGTTTTTCTTTTACTATTCTCTTAACGGGCAGATAGACCACTTTAGATCCAACTTTTTCGCTTCAACAGAGCAGGCCGTCAGTCTCTCGGCCTACTCCGGACACTCGTTTTCCCGCCTCGTTTAAGTTCGTTCTTGGTATTTGTTATTGACTTATTATAGACTAGACATATATTATCGCAGACATAGATATATAGTTGCGCATACCGGGAGATGATTATTATCGGATACCAGATTTCATGACTTTCCGCCCCAGCACCTCCTTCTAGGTGAGCCTATTCCGGTATAGTGACGAGGTGTTAGGCCTATATTTGTCTATTTGGAATTGCCTTTATTCTACCCTAAGAGGTTCTCGGTCGATCTAAACTTAGACCCATAACTCAGTGCGGGTCAGCACCGTGATCCGGACTACGCAGTGGTGGATACTCGGCCACATCGTGTAGCGTAGTAGAGCCTATTCCGAAAAAGGCTAGGCCAGACTCGATGAAATTGGGTGCAGCTTTTATGAAACATGCTTTATCGATTATGATTGGTGGGTCAAAAATTCGATAATCCTGGCTTTATAATAATTGATTGGCATGGGCCGTTCCGTGATTTTGGAAATACAATCTTTCAATAGCGAGGCCATCGAACCAGAGCCCTATGTTAATATAAGGAAGAGAGAAAAGAAAAGGATTATTGTGGAGATGCACGTGCCGTCTCCCGAGCCCGTTTGGTATCGCTTTAGGATTAGGCATGTTGGGGGTGGTGTCAGCGAACTCCACGAATCGGTTACGCGCGGAACGCTCTTTATCTGCGATTATAAATAGCCTCCCTTGCTTGTTTCTTGGAATGCCCTAAATTTTCTTTGGTTCTCGCCAAGCTCCTGCTCTATCCTCTTCGGAGGTAAGCCTGCTGATAGCGAGATTAAATCTCTAGAGTAGACTGTAAGACACTCGCCTGCTCGGAGAAGCAGGCGGCCGCTGACCTTATTATGTCTATGGGTACAACTAGCATAAAATATGATGCTCTTTATTAAGAGCCTCGCCATTGTAGCCCCGTTCATTATCCAAATGCCAGGGCCTCGGCGGCATGTGAATGTTTGGGTGCTGCTCCTTCGCCGGCATATATAGATCTATGAGCTGTTCGGAAACACTCGAGAAGCCATATTGTGCCGCACCAGGACTCTGTCTAGTACACACTCTGTCTAATGTATTGCCTGTATATGATAAGTCGACTATCTAGTGCAGTGCTCAAAACTGGGGAATTCACCATTAAAATGCAATAACAGAATAAATGTCCTACTATCAAACAGATCATTCAAATTTGCCTAGGGTTCTTCCGAGTTTGATTATTTTTCCCCCTATTCGTTGCACAGAAGGTTCCCTCGGGGTGACACTCTCTATGGGAAATAATGTTTATAATTATATCTGAGAATAATATCGGGAATAATATCGGGCACTAGTGTTGAACAAAGGCTGACTGGTTAACCTAAGCACCCACGTGGTTGCTAACGTTTATCCCTTCTAAAATCCAAGCCGAATGGTCTTACATACTAAGTTTTTAAGGCAGCTAGATAGTCGCACTGTAAGGAAGCAATATAAAAAGATTATCGTGGGTACACAGATCTGACACGGCACAAAGACAGATATCCCGTCTACCAATACTAGCCCTAGTATTAATTGACAGAAAATGGAATCCTTATATACCAAACAGACCCAGACCAAAGCCGATGCTTCGCATTTTGGGATGGATACCTCGGTACGTTAGCCTCAGTTTGGGAAGCATAATCTCTAACTAGGAAGTAGGAGCTTCTCCGCACCTTCACCAGACTTAACGCCCGGGCACTTCGAGCGGAGCGAGCTCACGCAAAACTGGAGTAGGATCACAGAGCTAGTTAAGTAGCTTTGAAGTAAGCCACAGACGAGCTCGACTAAGTTTCTAGGCTGGCGGAGATCTTTTACGACCTCACCCTGAGATTAGTGGACCATATACTAGGGGCTCGCGTAGCCAGCGGGAATGGTTAAGACCGGGAGTCGGCTGACGCAATACTTAATGCGGTGTTAAAACAAATCGAGAAACGGGAATCAGGGAGTGCAGAAGGCAGTGTTTACGGGGCCGAGGCCACCGCTAGCGCGAGTGCTGCGGCAATGGCTAGTTGAAGTATGGTAAACAGGGTGTTAATAGGTGTATATTGCTTCGTATAGGCCCGAAGTCTAGAATCTGCAAATTCGTGCCGTTTGTCTACCGCTGTATATACATAGCTCACCGGGGTTATATTAAATACGATGGTTCCTAATTGGAGTAACATAAGTAGACGTCTCTTATATTCTTAATCAGTTTTATTTTTAATATTTCTATCTCACTTCTATTGCCAGACGTATAGTATGAATGACTAAGTGTCTCTACTCTAGGTCCAAAAGCTCACGCAGAAGCTACAGCGTGCCCTGGAGGAATATCGGCCCAGTATAAGTCGAACCCGATCCGACCTAGGTGCCCTTGGGGACCCTTTTGAATGGGAACGCGTTCGGCGGTCAGCTACCCTATCGCCAGAAGCGTTTCTGAGTGAAGACTCTGAGCAGCTTAAGAAATGCCTTACAGGAGCGGTCCGCATTCCCTCGCGAACCCTTCCTCTCGGAAGTATTACGTGCTGACTGCACGGAACAGAGAGCCACAGAGGTGGGAAAGTTTAAACACGTCTGCTAGGAAGGAAGTTCAATGGACAGTTTCATGCTCTCGAGGCTTGGATGGCTCTGCGTACGCACAAGTCGCAGTGCAATGGGAATCATGTCTATGAATTTCATGTTGTAGTTGGAGCATTCAATCATTATAGTGCAATAGTCGAGGCGTCATCCACGTATAATAATAATACGCCGGTACCTTTAGAATGTGCCACAGGCTGGTTTGATTGATTATCGGGTTCGTGGTGCAGGAAGAAGCTGTGCTCTTCTGGTCGATCGAAGAAACGCTCACAGCGTAGATGGATTTAGCGGTAGCCGGGTGCCCGCATCGATCTCAATCGAAAGGCTCAAGGGCCACATCTGTTGCTTGCCGGAGGCGTTATAGCTCTCTGGATGCAGAGCGGTGGTCATCTCGGCTTGGTCGGCTCGTATGTCTAACGAACGGATCACGCTCTCTGCCCACTTCCTGGGTCGGCAGCGATGGCTTCTGCAATGAGAGCAAAGCAAGAACCTCCCGCCTATGGCGATTTGGTGCGTCGTCGAATAGCTTGAGGGGATTTCTCGAAGTGCCTGTAGACATATTGCTCCATTCACTCGGTCTTCTTTTTTTATAATGTTTTGGCATCGCTTCCCATCTTCTGCCATCCAGACACGTTTCACGGTGCAAGGGGTCACCCATCACTCGGGCGATGTGCCGAAAGACGTTGTCTAAGCTAAGATTCATGACTGGCAAGTGAAGATGGGTTGAATAAGCACGCTGCGATATCTGCGATGGAACTTTTTCGGATATATCAAAGCATTGACGACGCATGTGTCCTGCTTTATATGAAAAGAGAACCTCTATCTCACTTGATACGCAGCGGGTCTTGCCATTCGGTTACCTGACAAGGTTCAGGGCAAATGCACAGCCGCTAAGCGGGGGAAGGTGGTTCCTGGTGTATTTGATTCCGCTCCTAGGGGCGGCTTTGGTGACTCCCGGGGACTCTCGGTGCGTTCCCAGGAGCCCTACTGATCCTGGGATCTGCCATTACCGACGCTGGGATCTACCATTACCGACGCTGGGAGCTAAGAATACATAGATGAACCCTCCAACCCTATGGCTTTCTGCCAATGACAAAACTATAAAATGTCTAATAGGGGCCTCAAGTTCAACTTCGTTTTTCGCTTCACTAACGTTATACGCCGCACTCTGTCTTTTCCCTTCTCACTTCTCATACTCTTATACTCGGGCGTCTGAACACTTCTCTGTCATAATGCCTCAATCTCTATCCCTATGGGATGCGTTTGCGATCTGTGAAGGGCCAAGCAAGGACGACAGGGCTTGCTGTGGCCTGACCAAGCGAGGAACGCCTTGCAAACTCTACGTAACAGAGGACGTCCACAAAGCCGGCGTCGAGAAGTTGAATTCTCTAGCACGCCAGCCTTTTAATCTTCCCATTCTCTAAAACAGACTGCATGATATCGTTCCCCATTTTCTTTGCGCGCGGTGGCACCGTCAACTCCAGGTGAACCAGGTTCGAGAGCGATGGGAGGCAGTAGCCATCCGCAACCAAGGCCGGGAACACACCACGCGACGCAGAAGTGGGTTCGGGGCTCCTGCTAGAGGGGAACGAGCGTTGTCTTCAGAAAATCGCCTCTATGCGGAGCCCACCAGACCGAGAACTCCAGTATCAGCCGGCAGACCTAATCTGGATCATCCCCGGCCAACACCTATAATAGAGTAACGAAATTTATCCTAAGTCTCTGCACGAAGGCTAACGGAAGCTATATTGCGAGATAACCGGGTCCCTTAGGAAGTGACGGAAGCCGTTCCAGCCGTTTTATTGATCGCGAAAGAGAGTGGGGGAGAAACCTCCCTTTACCTGCGAAGCTTTAAGGAAATATCTAGCTTGCGAGACGAGACCTGTGCGATTTGTCGTGGGGAAGACCCGGAGGAGCCCGTCGTCTTAAAGTGTAGTAGGTGCACTACCTACGTGCACTTAGGGTATATGTCGTTGTGGCTCCGGACTTGCTAGTCCAGAAATAGGTCCTCCTATATAACTTGGTATATAAATTGTTCCTTCCTCGGTGTTAGGAGCGCATAAGCTAACCGAATAAGCAGTTAACATAATAGACCGTTTGACGCGTACTATGACTCGCTAACAGCCAACGCTCTACGGGCTCAGTCGCAGGAGTCGATCTCGGTAACAGATCGTTTGTAATGGCTGTGAAGGGCTGAAGCGAGACTTAGATTCAATCTGACTAGGCCACGAACTGTGTACAAAAAGCTTAAAGAAGGGATGTTCCCTCCGTGCGTTCGTTCTGTTAACATACTAGGGTCATGTGGTTTATGTGGCCTATACCGGGCATGGGCCCGTGATAATACCCCCCCTCTAACCTGAACCTCCCGGGGGTCGCGATAACGTGCGTATCGGTATCGATTTAACGTCGTATTATGTCCGAAACAGGGCCGTTTCGTTCCTTAAAGGCTTCTAATACGGCGCAATCCTAGACGGAGTCTAAGGTTTCCTACGTTTGTTCTGCCTACCCCGTCTATTATACTAGCGCTTCGTCGCGGTGTCCCTGTCTGACCTTCTTACGCCGAACGGCAAGGATTTTCTGAACTTCGTACTCTTCTTCGCTATCGACTATAATCGGAGGCGGCTACGTATCGTCTACGATTTGTGATAGGAAGGGGTCCGCTACTATAGGCCTAACTAATTCGATATAGAAGACTAGGTATACGCCTATAGGTATATTAAGCTTAACAGTATACGGTAACGGTATGTCTATAACTCTATACCGGGCGTATAGCTAGTCTAGCTTCTTCGATAGTCGTTGCGTACGTATATTCCGAAGGTTTAACTATACTTAGTCGTCTTTCTTATAGATAGGGGCGGCCTAGCGTTATTAATTTATCTGCTCCTCCTATAGTGCCTATACCGAAGCAATAGCGGCTTAGGCCTAATCGGTAGCTTCTCGTAGGCAATTTATAAACGTTTCGCCTGCTCTTCCTAGCTATATTAGGGCGTCTAATAACTAGTTCGACTTATCTATCCTAATTAGGTCGATATAGTATCCGTAGGTAAAGAAGAAGGGGGAGATCCCTATTAATATTATATCGCGGTTATTAATCGCGGTAGCGACTATTGGTAGAAGCTTCTTTTAATTATCCTATATATAAGTGGAAAAGACGCGTAAGATCCGTTCGATTTCTTAGTTAGCCCGCTCTATTATACTATTAGTCTACGGGTAAAAGGCGGTCGATAATCGTCGTTGAATCGATAGCGTTTTGTACACTTTTCCCTAAAATACGCTAACGAACTAAGGGCCGCGATTACTCACGATCGCTAATAGGACGCTATAATATATATAGAAGTGCGTAAGGAATACTTCCGCTATATCTTCTGCTATTATATCCCTTATTCTAATAAAGATTATACCTTTTATTAGCCGGTCCGTAATTACTATATAATTTATTACTTCTATAGATCCGGATAGCGGTAGGCCGGTAATAAAGTCCACTAATATTTTGGCCTAGATTCGTTAGGGAATTAGCAGTGGTCTTAATAGCCTATACTTTATATCACGCTATACTAAGCTATATTCGCAGACGGTATAGTTCCGTAAGAATCGTTATATATTCTTCGCGGCTCCGGGCCAGAAGAATCGTCGAGATAGTATTGAATACGTCGTGTCTTGTCCGGGGTGCGCTATTATATATAAGTTATAGATCTTCTGGATAATGCCCGTTCGTAAGGTCTTATTATCTGGGATCTATATTCGTTACCTAAAATAGAGTAACCCTCGATTGTCTAAATAGCACTCCGATAGGCTTATCTTTATATTCGTTTTGGCCGCGATTCGACGGTCTCCCTTTAGTAAAGCGTAGGAGATTTATTAATATATTATATCGGAACTCCTTACCTTTATCCACTTTGCCTATAGCTCCGGTTCCTCGAATAACGGGACATTTCTTTTGAAATCCGTCTCTCCCTAGGCTTAGTCGTTATCTGCTTACCTTATCTTAACCGAGACCCTTTTAAGTAGGACTCGGAAGCGATTCGATAGCCTTTCGTCAGAGATACCCTTAGGTATATCTTAGTTTCGACGAGAGAGAGCGTCTAGCCATACTACTAGCTTACCCAGACAGTATTATAGGTTAAAGTTAAACTCCGTTAAAAGGTTAGCCTACCTTATCTGCCGTTCGTTAAGGTACTATACCTTACTAAAGTATCGTAGGTTTTTATAGTCTGTTACGATAGTGAATCGGGGTACTATCTTTAGCTCTAGCCTCTATTTATATAAGGCTCGTACGATAGCTAGGAGCTCCTTATTATAGATCTTATAATTTAACTCTACCAGGGATAGCTTCTGCGATAGATAGGCGTATAGTCGTAGGTAGCTATTAGGTCTATATTATAATAAGACTGCCTTAGTAACCTAGCCGGAGGCGTTAGCTTCGACTACTATTTTGCGGCCTTCTTCGAAGTACGCTAAGATTAATATATTAATAAAAAGATCCTTTAGCTCCGTGAAGGCCTATTAGTAGTTATCGTTCTATTAGAATATAGCGTTCTTTCTTATTAATTATATTAACGGTGCTAAAAGGTCAGCGAAACATAATATAAATGGCCGGTAAAAGTTCGCGAATCCGATAAAGCTCCGTATATCTTAAATAGACTCTAGCCTCTCCTATACTCTAATTACCTCTACCTTCTTTAGATCTATATAGATACCCTTTCCGGCTTAGATAATAAAACTAAGGTACTTCACTAAGTCTTACTCGAATTCTAACTTCGTAATATTATATTAAAGACCTATATCTATTAGCTTCTGTAATATCTCACTAACTTTCTATTAGTAATCCGATAGCGTTCCGCTAGAGTAGATAATTATATTATTAATATACGCTAATATAAAGTTATCTAAGTACTCTTATAAGGTCTAGTTAATATATCTTTAGAATATCGCTAGTGCGCCTATTAGCCTAAATAGTGTGATATTCTATTTATAGAGTCTATATCGCGTCCGGAAGGCTATTTTCTATTCCTCTCTTAGTTATACGCGGATTTTATAGAAAGCTACGATAATATCGAGCTTCGTAAATTATTGGGCTTAGCTAATGTTCTGTAGCGTCTCGCGGATTAGTGGGAGGGGGTATCGGTCTTTTACTATTCGCTCGTTTAACCCCCTATAATCGATATAGAATTATACGCCTCCCCCGGGCTTCCGAACTAGTAGAATAGGTACGGCTACTAGGGATTAGCTTACCTATATAAAGTTCTTCCTAAGTAGGTCCGTTAGTATCTTCCGTAGATAGAGTAGTTCTTCCTTATTTATACCGTAAAGGGGTCTATATAGCGGTAACTCTTCGACGCTATTTTGGTCGTATTTTAGGGGAATTTTATAATTAACCCTAGGCTAATAGAGTAATAGTTTATTAGTTAGCTATTAGCTAAAGACCTCTAACTATCGTTAGTAGTATTTTGGTAGCTTATCCTTTAGGTTAATATACTCCTTAGGTCGTAGCGCTTTCTCAATATTATCTAGCGAAACCCTGCCGATTCGTACGCGTTCTATACTTAATATATTCCGTAAGAGCTCTTTAATTGTTAGTGCTATAGCCTATACGATATATAGTGCCTTCGCTTTAGTAGGTCTGATCGTGCGGTCTACGCAGTTCTAATATCTTATTCGTTCCCCGGACCTTATAAAGATATCTAGGTATCCCTTTCTAGCCAAATAGCGTCCGTTTACATTATATAGCTATAGGTCCCTAAGTATTATACTATTATCCTATAGTCTAATAATATATATAAATACCTAGCCTTACTAGTGGCTATAGACGTTAAGGTCAAAATACGTAGTATAGGTGATTCAGTACTAATTCGGCACTACTCCGTTAAGGATTCGCGGTCAGATCTTAATACGTGGGAGGTAAAGTAACTAGACTAGAGACTCGTTTACCGTAGTATAATAATGGTAACTATTATCGATTAGAGCTTATATAAATTAAATTCCGTTTACTTTAGCGTTGACTAGGAATAGTAGTGTCTCTTATTTTAGTAGCTTTTCGATCCCCTTTTGCTCTTATTCGCGGCTAAAGATAGAAGCTACTCTTTTCCCGAATCTTCCTCTGTGGCCGTATTATTATTATCTATAGGCGTTACTTCGCTATCGCTTACCGGTCTCGCCTTATTTACGTAGGTACTATACTTCTTTCCCTTCTATCCTAAATTAGTTATAATTTATAGATAATTCGGTCGCTAGGCGAGTAAGAGTATACACTTAGTAATATAATAGCCCGCTCTACTATATTATAGGTACTTCCCTTTAGCTTACCGTCTATCTAACTCGTCGGGACTTACCCACTAGGCTTATCTAGGGGTATCGCTACTTAGTCGTTAGGTTTTCGTATATAGTTTAGCGCGGTTTACTCTAAGTATTAGAGTCTAATCTATATTATCGCTCGCTCTCAGTAAGCGTAGACGACCCGTTCGCTTAGCTTTATTAATATTAAGGGTATTTATATCTGTGCTAATTTTGTGGAGTCTAGAGATCAGTTCAGAAAAGGTAGCGGGAATACCACGATTCATAAGTGAATTAGTTATTATTTTATTAAGTGCCCCGAGGAGGATCTGCCTCTTAGCTTCGTTATACTAATTTAGGGTATCTATATCCGCAAACTCCTTCTTTAGTTATAGTAGGAACTTCGAAAAGATTATTCTATTAGGTTATCGGATCTAGTGTAACCGTCTCGCTACGCGTGCCTTAATATTTAGGTCTCTATAGATATTCTCGAGGTAATTTAATAGTGCCTAAGGGTCGCTAGTGTCTCAGCGTAGTTTCACGAACGTTCCGCTATTCTTCTAGGCGAGTTTCTCTAGCCTAAAGAATATATATATAAATTAGTCCTAGGGCGAACTAATAGCTTATCTATTAACGCTTAGTTTATTCTCGATCGTCACACGCTAGGTTAGCCAGTCGTTTGTGTTACCACCGAATAGGATAGGGTCCGGTAGTCGTGCCTTTAGACGGTAAGGCCTTTCGTTTCGTGGGTGTTCCGCTATTACTTCAGTAGCGATTTATAACGGTGTCGCTTATTCTTCCGTGGTCGTTATTATGGTAAGTAGGACCTGTTAGTCTAGTATTGCTTCGAGGCGCCGGATTCGTTCTTCTTAAACGGCGTCTTATTGGTTACGTCGCTCTCGTTCTTCGTTCTGTATAGCTTAGGTCTATGCTATTTGCTATAGTAGCGTCTGTGCCCATAATAGTGGGCTTGTCGCTTCCTGCTGCAATCCTCGCTAGGGGTACGGCTTCGTGGGGGAAACGGTCGTGTTTTGTCGGTGCTTCGTCGGTTTAACGATAGTGAAACAGAAGCTTTTTATATATGAAGGGCTAAAGCGAGACTTAGATTCAATCTAACTAGGCCACGAACTGTGTACAAAAAGCTTAAAGAAGGGATGTTCCCTCCGTGCGTTCGTTCTGTCAACATGCTAGGGTCACGTGGTTTATGTGACCCATACCGGGCATGGGCCCGTGACATGGCTAACCATAAGACGCGGGAGCCAGCAACCGCTCGATTCTACTACGCCTCCTACCGAGGCTCCCCCTTCAGCTACAGGAGGGCACATAGAGTACCTACGTATCCTAACTGACCCTGCGTCCTTGACTGCACTATCACGTCGATCAGAGAGAGTGTCGCGGGCACCGGTTCGTTACGAGCCGTAGGTGAGTTGCAGACAGGTCTGTGGGAATCCGTTACAGTCAGGGCCCTATAACTCGGAGAAAGCACTTATGCCAGCGATAACGTTTCTTTAACGGTCGCCGCGAATAGTGATTTCTTGTGGTGTTAATTGTAGGCCACGTGAGCAGCCAAGACGCCTTAATAAGGAGACGCTTAGGCCAACGATTATATTTTAAAATAGTCGTATATAAGGACCGGTCTTCTGAAGTCCGACTCTTAAGCCAGCCCTAGACGTTTATAAATATTATTGCCCCTTTTTGGGTCAATCCTTGATTCGTGGAAATCTTCGGAGCTTAAGAGACCTCGTAGTCTACAATCGTCTGCATGATCACCTTGTCTTCTTTCGCACGATCGTCCGCGGCCAGAGATGGATTCTTAAGACCGTCCTTCGACCATAATGCTAGGCACCCCGCCAGACTGGACTAAGCTTAGAGAATCGCCTTATCCCACTATAGTAACCCCGGAGCCTTCTGGTGCTGCGATCTCCGATCCGATAAAGCTGTCCCCGAGCCCCTTGAAATGGAACAAGCAAGACCGGTCTGCAGTCCGGCATATCAACTAAGATCCTTGGCGGACGCATGAGGCTAGTATGCAGATCTTTCTGGGTCGCGACGTGATACTTGCGCGACGGCGGGACAATAATGCAGAGGTGGTCAATGTGGAGAAGCTCTAACGAACATCTATCGCGGTGAAACCGATACTAGATTTTATGGGCCGAATCTCCCACCCAAGCTTTCCGAATCTCCAAGCATGTTACCTCCACGAAAATCACGCGTTCCTTGTTTGGGAGCCGCTAGAGCTTTCCGTCAGCTAGTTGTTGGCATTGAAATGTCCGGTCATTAAGAGCGAGCTTGCTGCGATCGTCTGGCCGGTAGGTAGCTGATTTATTGGTGAGGAGCGCTTTGACTCACACGCGATAGGTCCTCGAAGGCATACAATACCTGCGCGGGTGCGGAAGGGCGCTTGCAGCGTTAAACGCGGACACGATATTGCTTTCGGAATCCGGAGAGGTTAAGATCGGTAGGTCAGAGGCAATCACGCAGGTTTCGTGGAAACCGAAGTTGGGTCAGTGATGCTGATAGTGACCATCCTGCAGCCGGGATAGAGCACAGTTGCGAGCTCAGCAAAGTGGAGATGAACGCCGCCACGTTGAAGCTCTTCGCGTTGGCCGAGATTGTCGAAAAGATCATTGGAAAGACTCTGCCTTCATATCCGTGGAGTGGCGAGGCTAAGAGTCTATCCCGAGACCTTAGGAGCCTGTTACTAGAGGAGTTGCTGCGGGTAAGTTACGCTACCGGTATCTTTGCGGTCGTGACTGATCGGAAAGAACAAACATTGGAAAAAACTGGCGACACCGGGGGGGGGTTGAGGATGCTCGTGAAGATAGCCAACAAGACCGCTTATCATAGAGTGGAAATTCTTGACCGCGCGTAGCCGGCAACACCTCTGTTCACGCGAATTGTGGTACTTGCTGGTGTGGTCTAGCCTTTTGGGGCAGGGCGGTTAGTAAGGCAGAACCACCAATGCTTGGCCGGTGAGTGTGTATTGTATTAGACGTCGGTAACTTGCCTTCTGTTTTCACTTCTACTGCATGAATGGCATCAGAGAAAAGAAAAGGACAACCCAAAAACTGAAATGCATGTATCACGCCTTTTCTATCTGCACCGTAAGGTTTTTGCGCGTTGAGTGTTCATGGGAGGTAAACTGGGTGTGGTGTTTTTATATATATCCTGATCTGACTTTCAGAAACTCAGGGCTATTCTTCAGAATAATTGTTGCGTCCATAAAAGGAACCAGATAACGATTCCATTATCACCAGAAGGCAACCAAAATATATCAGTCCTAATTATATCGCGACATAACGCGTTTCTCTTCGCGATCGACGCGGTCGAGTTGATACTATACTATGTGCCATTCCCTACCCGAGGGGTTCAACTTGGTTCAACCTCGGGCGGCAGGGGTTCAACTCAGATACCCACCCAAATGCTGTTGATTGGTGGTAGCCACGTGATCGAACAGCAACCTTGAGTCATGTGAATCGCGAAGAACCGCGATTGTGTTCGCGTAGTGACCCTGCGCCCAAGAGCGACATCTTTGCTTGCATTCCTATCTGATGTAGTGGAAACAGTAATATGTATTTCCCGTGGTGGCCAGATCTCCACCCACAACAAGTCGACCTACTCTCCTCGTGATCCGGCATTTAAGAGATATCTAGCGCGCTATGCTCGTCAGTTTAAAAGTCATATCGCGATCACTCCGCACCGACCAATCTTTCCCGGTTCACCGATACCATTTGATTTGTGCTGGCCTGACTCGCTTCCACCTCGTGATAAGACCTGCACCGCTTCCGTTACTCCTAGCCGCACGCGATCCAACTCAACCTCAAAATCTCTTGCCCGGGACTCACTGGCCTGAAGCTGAGCCTGAAGTCGAGAGTTTTCGCTTTTCAAATGGCTGCTCTCGCCCAGTGACTCCTCCAGACGACTCCGTGCCCGGTCGAGGTCAATCCCCAGCTCGCGATTTGCAGCTTCCAACTCGCGGATCTGCGCTGTAAACGATACGGTTCCCTTCTCAACCTGGTGCGGGGGCTATTACGGACTCGTCAGCACTAGCAAGGGCCCAGGGATCAATTTCTCTCACCTCCTCTGCACTGCTCTCCGGATCCGAAGGGGAGCTCTGTAAAGTCAATGGCGTAACGGCCTCGAGCGATCGGCCGAGTTCCTCGCATATAGACCGGTACAGGCGAACGTTCCCACCGCTGAGGCTCGACTGCAAGAGATGCTTGTTGGGCTCGGTCACGGACCAGGCGTATTTGTCCTCGGCTCGTGGCTGGAGACGGACTTGGTTGGGAGCGACGACGAGACCAAGTCGCAACTCTGGAGATTGTCAGCCTCTCCGGTGGACTGGATTCAATCTGGACTTACGGATGTGCGCTGCTAAAGCTTCTCGGCATTTGGTTCTCTCTAATGCGCGCTTTTCGTTGCTAGACATAGCCATTGTAATTATCGGACGGGTGGGAGACGAGTGTCTTCTTTTTATCCAGTTGACTGCCTTATACGACTGCTTTATACCAGACGAAGCAATACTTTAACAACTTTCACCAACCTCGTCGTTTAATCGTCTACATTCTACTGAACAGAACAGTGGAAGAACAGAGCAGTAGTTAAACAGAGCAGTAGTCAGGGTAGGAAGCTGTTAAAAGTAAACACTAGTCAACAAAGAATCAGTTAGATTTTTAGCAACATGTGCTGACCAACGATTAACACCCAACGTTTAACAACAATCTTTAACAAAAAAATAAGAAAGAATATTTCAATTTATTGAATCCGTTTGAGTTTTGGAAAGTCCAAACGGAACACGTTGAGCTACTTATTATGCAGTTCGCTCAAGGTATAATAAATACAGTGGATGACGAAAATCAAATCTGAAGAACATTCCTGCTCGAGTAATGCTTTCCAATACCGAACTAACCCCGACTGAGACAAAGGTTTAATTCCACACCTAGCGCTCTCAACTCTTCCTATATTCCTTAGAAATCTTCTCCGTGACGTGCGGGCGCTTCTCGACGGAAATTTTCGCGGCCTCGGTGAGCCGAACTTCCTCGGTCGCACTGGGGATTTTAAACGATTCTGGACCGTAGGATTTGCCGCGGCGTTCTCCAGAAACCTTACCCTGCTGCTGCAGGGTGGTTGCCTTCGATGACGAAATACCAAGCCGAAAGCTGGTTTCCTCGCGAGCTTTGCCTTTGCTATCCTTCTCCGATGCCATATTAGGGAGCTCGTTATGGATCTGCGTAAAATTAGACTTGCAAGATAGCAATAGATGGGAGACATACTTCTTTCGGTTCAGACCGAGTCGATGTGCTGGGTGTGGAACTAGGTGTGCTCAGTGTAGAAGTAAGTACCCCGGGACACTTGAGAGAGATGAACAATTTCGTCTGTGAGAGTCTCCCTGGGAGAATTAGACAGCTTTTATAACAACGAGGGTGCCGCTCTCGCCATATCACCCCATGGACCTAAGCGCCTTTGCTCCCCGAGGCAGGTTGTAGTCGACCGTATTGGGAAATGGACAGTAGAACTTGAGACAGGCGGTGCCAGGATCTGAGGTGGACTGGAGGAGCATTTGTTCGCTCTAGAAAGTGGATCTACTGGCAGCTTCTCACCTTATAGGGTAGGAGAATTAGCCTTCCATTTTCAGCCTCACAACCATTGGCTATGGTCACAGCCCAATGCTAGACAGGCTTTTGGACTACTGGCATAACCAATTGAATCTTCTGGTCTATAATTAGAGCTTGAATCGGAGAAGGCATTAGCGCCGCGACCAAGTAAGCGCTAAGACAAGAAAGGATGCGTAATGTCTACCAAAAACCAATCGATTATTATTTCGATGTTTCAGAATTTCATGAACGATGTGTCAGAAAGCGCTGAATTGGCTGTCCTATTTACCAGTCAGTGTGTGATATTTTGCGCGACTATTGTTTGAGGAGTCCGCCCTGGAGCCAGGAATTGCTCAATAGAGATTGGAGATTGTAACATGGCAAAAAATCCGGCAGAAAAATAGCGGGAGGTAGGTGTCGGTACAAATATTATAGTAGCTGTATATCCTTAGCGTAAAGTTTTTAGAGAGGTCTAATTAATTTTTATGTAATTGCCATACCTAGTTAGAGATTAGAGAGGGCGTTTAACAGTAAATTATAATTGGTTGCCGCTTACAAGATGTGGAGCATTCTCATGCACCCAGCGAAAGCCAAAGTGGGTGTGATGAAATATTCAGTGTCCACCCCCCCTTTTAAGAGCGCCGCGTCCCCTTCTTCGAATGTCAAGCACCTGACGTATTCTATTTATTGTCCATCCAAACCACAATTACGGAGATGCGGGCTCGCATGTGCTTCGACGATGTCGCGTGGGAACGGAGTGAGGCCATCCAAGACGCTTGGGTACACCAATTGTTCACGGAAGAGACTTTGATGGCAATCGGTAAATTTATCCTGAAACATCGAAGAGGAGTGCCCGTTGAGCTGTGTGATCCAAAAGCTGGGGCTTTCAATGTGTCCTTCAGAATGAAGTTTGAGGACGGCGGTTCTGCAATTATTCGATTTCCCAAACCCGGTGCTACGATGTTTCCCGAGGAGAAGGTGCGCAATGAGGTCGATATAATTAGGTACATTCAACAACATACGACAATTCCTGTGCCGTTTGTCCTGCACTGGGGCACCAAAGAGGAAAATCCTCTCGGACTTGGTCCATTTATCATCATGGAATACATTGACCATGTAATGGACCTGAGCGACGTCCTTAACACCCCTGGGTTTGCGGCTAAGGATCGTCCGGTTCTCGACCCAAACATTGATAACGCCAAACTCGAAATGCTATACGGACAGTTTGCGGATATTTTGCTTCAGTTGTCCACGCTAAGGCTGCCTCGGATAGGATCACTAGCCCAGACTGACGATTTCACCTGGGAGGTGGCTCAAAGACCACTTTCCTATAACTCGAACGAACTTGTCCGTCTAGGGACTCTACCGCGCTCAAAGTTGCCAAGAGCGAACGAGACATTTCAATCAGCGTCATCGTACTTCAATACACTGGCAGATCTTCACCTCGAGCATCTCAAACACCAACAGAACGATGCCGTAGATTCCGCGGATGACTGTCGACGCAGGTGTATTGCAAGATTCTTGTTCCGCAAACTCGCTAGGGAGGGTCGATTCACGACTTCTTCCACGAATTTCGGACCATTCAACATCTGGTGTGACGATCTTCGGCCCTCTAACGTCTTGATCAACGAACATCTTCAAATCGTGGGAGTTGTGGACTGGGAATTCACCTATGCTGCACCAGTGGAATTCTCTCACGCCCCACCGTGGTGGCTGCTTCTTGAACAACCAGAGTATTGGCCGGATGGAATGGAAGCGTGGACGAAGGTGTATGAGCCACGCCTTCGGACGTTCTTGAAGGTGCTACGCGAAAAGGAAGACGCGGCCATAGACCGCAGCAAAATGAAAGATGAACAAAGGCTTTCCGGGCCAATGCAACAAAGCTGGGAGAGCGGTGGATTTTGGGTCACCTATGCAGCGAGGAAAAACTTCGCGTTTGATGCTGTGTTCTGGAAAAAGCTTGATGACCGATTCTTTGGACCCGGAACGAGCACCGAAGACGACCGTTGGAAAGAGCGGATAGGCATTCTCACCGAAGACGAAAGAGCAAATATGGAACAAATAGTCGAGAGGAAGCTTGAAGGGGCGAGAACGAGAGATTTAGCCTGGGAGCCTGATGAGGTGGATCTGAAGATCTTGAGCTAGTACCTGAGATAGGAGTACACGAACCGACTCGGTCTTGAGAAGGCCACCCTTCACCTTTCACCTTTGAATTCACATTCTCCACATCTGTTAATTACTTTCACAAATGTCTTTAGCTACTTTCCACATAGCATGCTTACTTAAAAATATCGATATCTAGCCATGGCTGCAACATAAATAAATTATGGATAATAAGGGATGATGACGTTCACTAAAGATGGATGTTGATTTGAAACATAGTAATGTTCAACTCGACCCGACGTACTCCAAGTGCTCGACACTGACGGACTGGCCTTTATTTTAAGGATCCGTTTGACTGATAATGACACAGATTATTAATTTTGCATCCTCAAATCAGGGAATAGCGGTCCACTATTTGCTTGCGCCGAGGTGGACCATGTCGCTGTCTTGCCACACGTTCGGTTTCTTCACGCATGCGATGCGCGGCTTGAAATACCTCGCAGGATATAGCTCTGTACGATGGGACTCCGCCCAAAACACCCAGAATTCCCAGCCTTGCGACCCTTGAGGCATTCATAATAGCGCATCTGTAGAGAACTTGCAGATCTTCCGGGGAAGCACACTGCGATTCGTTTCCACGGCAAAGTCCGTCAATTTAATCAAAAGCTGGTCATCTTTAGACATGGCTTAGGCTCACCCGGTCAGTTTACCAGCGCAGAACCCTTTCTGGGAGGCTTTCTCAGGATGTCGATTGCCAATTTGGTTTCACAATGTGCAAACCCACCCGGATCCTAAAAGTAGGAGTGCCCGGCCTGCTATTCTTAGGCGGTGAGACTCTTCTGGAAGGAACTGTTGTTGGTCAAAGAAAGATTCGTTTTTCTTTGTACTTGAGGAATTGACTGAGACTATATATACAACAAGAAGGTCGAGTTGATTTTAAATCAACTTGTTCTTCATATAGACAGTGCGGGAACTAATTCCGATGGTGCGGTTTGATTCCTGATTTGCACCAGCCTCATAATCACAACAGGAACGACAAAGAACAGACATGTCGCGAGCCCAGCAATGACCGCAAGATGCAGTATGGACCAAGGCCAAGGATATGTGCATTACTTTCGCTACTGGCCTTTATCACTGGCCCTGCTTTCAGGATCTCATCGACTGGGTTCAGAGGAGCCAGAGAGACCGACGATGACGACAGCTAGCCAGGCAACTGAGAGCCATTCTGTGACGCTGGGGATATGCAGTATAATATCAGCTGGGGGTGAACAGAGCGGTAGATTTAGCCTGGAGGGTATACCGGCAATTTGCAGATGTGAAGCAAGCCGGCGCAATCAGAGACGAACAAAGCTCTCTAGCAGAAGAAGACCTGGACGTGACGTGATGCACAGTGACTCCCTTAGGGAAGTAGTGGGATAATTGACCCAAATCAACACGATGTCACTGTGGGCTAGATCATCTCGATGGTTCTTGCTCCTATACGACAGCCATTACAGAGGGAGGTGCGACAACGAGCTGGACGTCGGATCCAACGGCATCTACGGAAAATGAATGGGAGGGTGCGTCAGTTGAAAACCGAGGCACTGCCGTAGTGAGGGCGGATAAGAAGTAATAGGGGTGGCGAAGAGTGCAAGATAGAGGAGTTGAAGAGAGGAACGAAGAAAAAAAGGCGATCGAAAAGGCGAGGTCGGGTTAAAACTAGCGTATCGAGGCACGAAACCCAAAAAGGCAAAATTAACCCGAGAAGATGGTTTGATTCCAGCCGACACTCTGCCTCCGCTCGCGCCTGTCTCTCCTCTGTCGACACCCTACGGCATCTCAGAGCTGTTATTGTTCCTCAAGCTGACGAAGGAACCCGGAGATTGTGTCCGCGTCGTCCATGCTTGATGCTGGCCGCAGGTATCGTCTCCGAAGATGGGAGTTCAGCGTATAAGATGTCGACATGGCATGACTTAAGGAGGTCTCACGATGGGGTCACGATGTGTTGTCCCATTTGATTGTCTACTCGGGGCTGGCTGCCACGACTAACCTACTTTAGTCAATTGGTGCCTAAGACACCAGTCATTAGCTAGTGCATTTGTTTTGGACATCAAGCTACAGATGACCTGCTTCAATTCTCCTTTAATGTTTCTGCCGCTTGGCCTGCCGAATGAAGAGCTCCCGTGCCATTTGGGAGGTTTGTGCTTGCTGGGCCTGGAGATGAGGCTGCTGCGCGTGAGGCGGCGGTGCTGCGGGTTCCTGGGGACCATGCTGTGTGCGAGATGGGAAAGTCTGCGTGTCTGCTTTCTGTTGCTCGTGAATAGACAATGAAACTGCAGGGTCTCGGGCTTCGACCTGTCCGCCACGGACCGTGGTCTCGGGCGGATACCCATAGAAGGCTAACCTCTGGTTTAAGGCAATTATGGGAAAGTACTTTTTCGAGCAGTCTAAGTCGGCAAACACCGCGACTTTGTGACGCTGCGATACCAGCTGCTCTAGACAGCCGCATAAAGTATGTCTATCCGCACACGTGGCTAGGGCAGAAGTATTAGTAGGCGTTCGTTCTGTGAAGGCACGATTTGAACGTCTCGCGCTGACAGAGACCTACCTGCCTCCCCGTGTAGCAGTTCTGACCGCGCAGTAGTACACCTTTCTTCATGCAACACGACATGGTATGCTAGCTGAGACCAACACGATTTCCGAAACGACTCCGCCTCGTTGTCCTCCTATGATATCACTAGCCCCTTGACCGGAAATAGTTGCTTCGACGTGATGCTATGGGGCATATACCGGAGACGGTATCGGATCTGCCGTATAACTCCATTTTTAGTCGTCCTTGATATAGGAGCAGCCCGGAAGATTATGGGGAGCGCCTTCCGTATGAGCTCCTCAATAATGTGATCGCAGAAGAATGGCGCGTAGGGCCCGGCTATGTTTGGCAGTGCATCGCGATAAGGGTACCTGCGGTGCGTGGCATCAAAATCCAACCACCTGTGGTGGATCTTGAGTACTTGTTGCTCGAGGTCGAAGAAAGTATCGATGGTGCTATTGTGAATGTGGATAAAGAAAACTCTGATATACTTCGTGTTCTCGGATAGAGCCATACACGCTTTCAGGACCCTCTGGACCGTCATTGAGAAAGAGGAGTTAGAAGGCGAACACACTGGGGCGTTTTTGAATAAGATGATTTGCTCTTCCTCTGCGGTTCTGATCGCAGAGTCTGATCGGATTAAGTCCCACAGCGATTCTGGGATTTTAACTGGCTCCTTTCCCAACACATCACGAATCACGTCCACATCCTGCTCACTATCAATCTCTGGGTTTATGAATGGGCCAATAGTTGTACTGACCTTGGCGTGGTATGTCTCACTATAGTATAATAGCTTCCTGTTTGCCCCTTATAGACGATGTTTCCAGATCAGAGACCTTGTGGGTGCTTCTAGGAGACGTCCTGCCAGTTCTATATCTGGCGCCTGCGGGAAGTCCCGCAGGAGATTGACGTAGAGAGGAAGCGCAGACGCTTTATCTTAGCCGATAGCGCCCTCCTATATCCGCCGCACGAGATTAGCTTCGTCCTGCTTGTCACTCGATCTCTGCCAGTCACGATTCACCGTCCGCGTTAGGAAATTATACCTAAGCTTATAGGAGCTGGTCTCTAAGCTTGACCCTGACAGAAGCACCCCCTTGAGATAGACTTTGCCGCGGAACTTTTCGTCGAGAATGATGTCTCCAACTCCTGTTTTAATGATATAGGAGGGGTAAGAAAATCCACGAATATCGAGAGAAATCTCCAGCCATTGCTTGAATAGTTCCAATGAGATCTTCTCCCGCTTCTTGTTGCGCTCTGGACCGATCGTGATCGCGACGTCTCTCTCGACGCGCGAGCGTAATTGGGCTATGTCACTGGCTGGGTCCGTAGGGAGGCTGGAGTTGGCGTTTCTGGATAGGCGTATGACACAGGACACCTGAGATCTCGATGGTCCGCGGGCGCGGAAAGTCCAGTCGCAGCCACCCGCAGCCATGTGCATTCGGTAGCCGTTCTGAGACATCACCATAGCAGCCAGCTTGAGTCCTTCACCCCGGCATCCTGCGAGATAGGGGCTGCCCTCCTTCGAAGTTTGCCCCAGCTGAAGATCATCTGGCCGAAGTGAAGCATATGGATTAGCCAGAATCACACGCCCTGCTTTTTTCTCATATTTGATGAATCCCAAGGCTCGGCCGTGTCCATGCAATGCAGACACAGACGGGTCCGGTACAGCAATATTCGAAATTGGCTTCCATGTTTTACACAGGGAAACTATCTCAAGCCCCACCGCCAAGACGATCGTGAAACCGCCTAGGCCAATTCCAGCTAGGCTACAGATCATCCCTACTCATCAGAATGGAAATGTAAGATACCTGACAATACTTATACGTCGAGGCCGTTGAATCTTACGTCTCGCTAATCCGCTTTCGCGCTTGCTGTCCTCATCTCCCGCCCCGAGCCCACGTTATTGCAGCTCACACCACCTTAACCCCCTCCACGAGACAGACACGGCACAGAATGGCTCCCAATCTGCCTTCTTCTACTAAAGAATTTATTCGCGATATGATCTTGAGCAAATCACTGACCACAACCCAGATCGCTGATGCCGCTGGATGTAGCCCGCGTTCCATCACCACCATCCGCAGCAACCTGCGGCAATTCGGTGATACTAGAGCCCCTCCTATTCGAGCAGGCCGACCCCGTAGTGTCACACCGCTGATGCTGGAGGCTCTGTGCGACCATCTGCTAGAAAAGCCTGGTCTCTACCTCGACGAGATGGCCCTTTTTCTGTGGGATGAGTTTGGCACATACACGACAACCTCTAGCATCAGGAGAGCGCTGATCTCCAAGAAATGGTCTAAGAAGACATCTCGACAGAAAGCAAGGGAACGAAATGCCGATATACGAGATTGCTACCTACATAACCTGTCTGAGTTTCGGTCGTATCATCTGGTGTATATCGACGAGTCTGGGTGCGACAAACGGATTGGCTTCAGGAGAACAGGTTGGTCACCGCTTGGGATAGCACCGGTCCAAGTCTCTAAATTCCATCGCGATCAACGGTACCAGATACTGCCAGCATACTCCCAAGATGGGATTGTCTTGTCCCGAGTGTTTCGTGGCTCAACCGACGCATCCGTTTTCGAGGACTTTGTTGAGGAGCTTCTGCAGCATTGCGGGAAGTGGCCGGAACCCAGGTCTGTTTTAGTGATGGACAACGCCTCTTTCCATCATTCTGACCGCATAGAACAAATGTGTTCAGACGCTGGCGTAAAGCTGATGTACTTGCCTCCCTACTCGCCTGACCTAAATCCTATTGAGGAGTTCTTCTCTGAGCTTAAAGCCTTCATTCGGAGACACTGGGTTTTCTATGAAGATAACCCTGAGCAAGGCTTTGATAATTTTCTGGAGTGGTGTGTGGAACGCGTAGGCGCAAGGGGACAAAGTGCAAAAGGGCACTTTAGGCATGCAGGTGTCAACGTTGACGAGACATGATACGAACAACTTGATTAAATATGCCCTTGTCATTTAGAACCTAATATATCTTAATAGACCGAGTCAAGTGGTGAAAATGATGATCATTGATGCATTCTCCAAACTATTCGCGTTATATATAAATTCTCTCTACATCCCTACTTCATAACTCAACAACACTTGTTGCGCAAAATTTCGCCCACTGGGTGATCTCAGATACAAATCGGCGAGCGACTCCCACACTGATACCCTGCTTGATAAAGAAGTCTGGATCTTGATCACTGCGGATCTGCTGGAGATCAAGACCATTTGCAACCGCTAAGTCTCGCGCTTTGCGATATCGTCCTTGAGAATGTCTCGGCTCACCCGTGATTGCTGCCAGTTACTATACTCCTCCACCGCCACATCGTGGAGACCAGGTATATCAATTGGATCAGGAGTAGGGGTCCTCGAGGTGGTCGAGGGGGAAGGGTTTGGGCCATTTACACCGGTCACGACTGATTGCGATGCCTGATTGGGGGGTACAGTGATATTGATTGGTGGGCACATCGACCCAGGCGGAGAGTTAGAATGGCTTTTCTGCCTTGTGGTTCGCTCGTTGTCCTCGGCATAGAGCTGCTCACGGAGGCTGTCCGGAATGTCATTGTGGGTCTCAAATATCCCGCCTTTCTCTGCATATCTGACGAGACTTCTCAGTTGGTGTGTTCGCAGTTTATAGTGTCTTTTCCCCACTGGGTCTTTCCAGAAATATTGGCCTTCGTAGTGGCATGGCGGGCCAGGACATCGCATCATCTGATATACCTCTCGCCAAACCGAGGGCTGCCCAGAGGCGTCTTCGGCATTAAGTTGCGCGTCTCGGTCGGCGAGTATCCGTTTAGTGACCGAAGTTTTCCCTCTTTTGTCGGTCCTCGACAGCGGGGTGCTGTCTTCGATATAGTTCACGGAAATTTTAAGCCGTAGCTCCTTACCCTGGCGATATAGACTGGCCCACGTAAGCAGCTGCTTTTCTATGGCAGTCCAGTCCATGTTCGTGCTGTCAAAGCGTTTAGTCAGGTCGCGCTGAGATCGGTCGTTTACAGAGACCACAACGGTATTATCGTCCGGTCTTACCCGGCGGTCGCGGGAGATCTTGTCTCGTAGGATTTCATATGCTCTGGCCTGGATCTGTGGCCAATAAAAGCTTGGCAATTGAAAAAGATCTTGCTTAGTATCCTTCGCTACGACCCGACGGTTGAGAGTGACCCTCCACTCGATTAGGTATTGGATACAGTCTGACGGCTGTTCACCCGAAGTTCCTACTTCATGTTCCACTCCTTCTTCAAAGCCCAGTAGATCAGGCTATATCTGACGTAATGGGGACGAGCGTTCATCGGCCGCTTGCTCGGGGTCCGGTGAAGGACAACCCACAGAGGGAGCCCGTATTGGACTAAGAAAACCGGGAGTTGGGGCATGCCGGGGGGGTCCCATCCCACGGCCGTAGGTACTGAGGTCGAAAGGTGTCTTCATCGTCAGAATCAGAGAAAGCCATTTGCCCTAGGCAGCAAATGCCACTGAGGAGCCTAGTGATAGCGCCATTGAGTGTCAGCCTACAACAGAGTAAAGCCAACGAGCGAATGGGAGGGGACTGCAGCTGACAAGACGAGCAAAGGAATGAGTAAGAGCATGAATGCGCGACTGGGTCAAACAAGCGTTCCTGGTAGTGAGTAACGAGCGTGGGTTGTACAGTATACTGTAAGAAAGTGTTTGGACCATGGATGGGAGTGGGTGGATTTGAGATCCCAAGCAACGGGTTCGGGTGGTTTGGATTGTTTGCACAAAAGTCGATCATTCTAGACTACGGTTCCCTTAGGCGCTCCCACCAGTTGTTGCGCCCGGGAACTGGATTGTGCGTCACCAAGTGGCTTGCCACTGAACAAAGACCGACACCTCTATCCTGTCAAACAGATTGGTAATTTAAGCTCATTTCATTCAGCTGGGAGTCCATTCGCTCGGTCCTATACGCTACAGCTAGTTGTTGAAGAACGCATTAACATCAAAGCCTTTGGCCATTCCCACAACCCCCCTTGCCGTGGTTTGTGGCTTTGACATTGTGAATTTCCTGGCGAACCTTTCCGTTGTCCTCGTCGCAATTGATGAGACCGACAAGAAGCCTTCCGCCGTCACTCATGTCGACATTGGTGATCGTTTGCCCCGTCCGCACGTGGCGAGCCTCCGCGAGCAGTTCTTCTAAGAGCTTTCGAGAATCATCTAGTGCAGCACGTTGATCTTGGAGTTGCTCAATCTCTTCGGCGCTATCTTGAGGGTCATCCAAGAGCCGCCCTTCTGTGATCTTCTGCAAGGCCATTCCCGCCACGGCCTTTTGTTTGTCAATCTCGATGATCTCCTGAGCGATCTCTATTTCCTTGATACGGAGGTCTCTTTGCATTGTTTTAGCGGTGGGGTCCGACGTTGTGGTCGAGAGCCTGTAGAGCTAGTGAGCCTATGTCTGCTGATTAAGCCAAACATGAATGCGGAAAGAAATACATACAAGATTGCGGTGCTGACTGCTGTGTTCATGGTAGATTTGTAGCGGTTGAGCTGCTCACATAAAGTCTTAATAGTTCGTTCAGCGAACAAGCCAACACGGACACGATCCCACACGTGCATCTTTTCACCCGAGCGATTCGTCCACCGTGCTATCTTTTTGCGAAACTCATTGCAGGCTTTTTGGCAATGCGTGATAGCCAACCGCAGCGTCGTCATCACATCGGGCGTGAGGTGTTCAAGCTGAGAGTTCTTGTGTGCATTATTCAAGGCCAGAAGAATGGCCCACAGCCACCAGCTCGTCCCTGAGACTAGCTATCACATCTGGTGCATCTCTGATAGCGTTGATCTCGTGGATTAAAGCAGTAATACTTTTTACCGCTGCTCCAACGATACTTAAAGTGCCGACAGTCAAACTGAATGGATCCATCGTCACAAACGAGTAAGCAAAAGGAAACTCGCTTGAAGGAAATCGTGCGGTTTGAATGCTTTGACACACTTATGCTCTTCTTTCGAATGGCTGTTTTAATGTGGGTGTTCTAAGCCGAACGTAACTATAGATATTGGATGAAACCCGGGGTAGGAGACAAGCCGGCTGGGAAATTGGAAGGCTTATAGTTGAATTACCGCCGAGACTCCTGCGGGCCAAGAATTCTGCCTCGCGAGGGCATAAGGCTTTATCAGCCAATTACAGGAGCTAAGGAACGGTACAGATAACAAGCTTACCGGATAGAGCTGGGCGAAGTTCTAAATTTGGGCTCTACCCCGCTTATCAGCGCAAAGGACTGAACCAGTGGGTCCCTCGTCCCCAATTGGAAGACGAAACGTTTGAAAAGTGCAATTTGCCCGACCCGACTGACCTTTGAGCGAACAAAGCGCGCAGCAATACGAGAATCTGTGCCGAGGGATTCAAAAGTCCCTAATGACTTTATTACAAGACTTTGATGATCAGCCACCTCATCTAGACCTTCAAACCGTCGCTTTGTTTTTTGGAGTACAATCTGCTCGTCTCAGCCTCTTCGAATTTATTATGTCTGGCAATCATGATACGATACTTATGCGTCGAGGAACGACGTCGAGAGGTCCTATTACCCAGTATATTTCTGGAGTGAGCGCAGAATCAGGTGGAAAAGTTTTCGCAGGATACGTGGACAATAGTAACAACAGCGAATACTATGGTGGGACCCACTACCACCAGCATCCTGGTAAGTTCTTGGGAAAGAAAATTGACCGTCGCATTAACCATGGCAACCTTAGACCGGCCCGGAACTCCCCCAAGCCCCTTATCGACCGTCCCGTTCCGTCGCGACCCAGACTTTGTCGACCGTGGAACGCTACTTGATCAGATACATGAAAAAGGCTCTATACCGGGATCTCGGATCGCACTTCTCGGCCTAGGTGGCGTTGGGTGAGTTCAGAAAGACAGCGGATTTACCAATGCTAATAGCTTAGAAGAAAATCGCAACTTGCTATCGAATACTGTTATCGAGTTCGAGATCAATCGCCCGACACATGGGTTTTCTGGGTCCATGCGAGTACTGCGGCACGCTGCGAAGGAAGCCTCCGCGACCTTGCCGACCGCGCCAAGATTCCCGGGCGCCAGCACCGCAACGCTAATATTTTCCAACTCTTCGGGAACTGGTTACAAGATGGAAAAATCGGAAAATGGATTCTTGTCCTGGATAATGTTGATGATGACGAGCTCCTTCGCAAGCCATTAGTAACTCGTACAGACACACAGGAAAACGGCCAGAACCATGTCTTGACACAGCCACCGCTAAGGTACCTTCTCGGAATCTCGAATGGCTCTATTATTATCACGAGTCGCAATAAAAGGGTAGCATTGGAAATCGCTGGCCAGACGAAGGGTCTCATTGATGTGCAACCGATGAACATGGCCGAGGGGGTCGATCTAATGCAGAACAAGCTACAGTCCTATACTGAGAGAGCGGACGTGGTTCAGCTAGTGGAAGAACTCGAGTACATGCCACTCGCGATTGTGCAAGCGGCTAGCTATATCACTCATCGTTCGCCCCGTTGCTCAGTAGCGCAATATCTCGACAAGCTTCGACAGAGTGATCGACACGCGGCGAAGCTCCTGAATCACGAGGGACTGAACACTTACCGAGACTGTGAGGCAAAAAACTCTATTCTTCTGACATGGCAAATTTCGTTCGACCATATCCGACGAATAAGACAGAGTGCGGCTGATGTACTTTCCCTAATGAGCTTTTTCGACTGGCAGGGAATCCCAGAGGAGCTTCTACGGGTTCATGGTATTGAAAAAAACCATGAAAATTCGGGTTCTTCAGGGGAAGTTGCGAACAGCTCCAGTGCAGAGGACACAGATAGTTCGTCCGAATGTGACCTAGACGACAATTTTGAGATCGACATTGCAACTCTCCGAGACTATTCCTTCATTGCTATCAGTCAAAGTAGCACGGTATTCACGATGCATCGGCTAGTGCAGCTCACGGTCCGCATGTGGTTGAAAACCCATGGCCAGGCTGAGGGGTGGAAGGAACGATTCATTAACAATCTAGATGCTGAGTTCCCGACCGGCGAATACGCAAATTGGGAGAAGTGCCGGTCACTCTTTCCACATGTTAAGTCAGCTGCGTTACATCGACCAAAATCGCAAGACTGTCTACGAAGCTGGGCTGGGTTACTTTACAGGGGGGGCCTGGTATGCGAAAGAAAGTGGCAATATCCCTGATTTGCGGGAAATGGCATCTACGTCGAGAAAGCAGAGAATAAAGATATTAGGCGTGGAACATGAAGACACCCTTGATAGCACTGCGATGTTAGCAATAGCTTACCGACTTGAGGGCCAGTGGAAAGCGGCGGAGCAGCTCGAGGTGCAGGTCGTGGAGGCTCGCAAGACGAAGCTCGGCGTCGATCATCCTGACACGCTGACGAGTATGGGCAATCTGGCGTCGACGTATAGGAAGCAGGGCCGGTGGAAAGCGGCAGAGCAGCTCGGGGTGCAGGTCGTGGAGGCCCGCAAGACGAAGCTTGGCGCCGACCATCCTGACACTCTGTCCAGTATGAACAATCTGGCGTTGACATATTCGAACCAGGGCCGGCGGAAAGAGGCGGAGCAGCTCGAGGTGCAGGTGATGGAGGCTCGCAAGACGAACCTCGGCACCGACCATGCTGACACGCTGACGAGCATGGGCAATCTGGCATCGACATATAGGAAGCAGGGCCGGTGGGAAGAGGCGGAGCAGCTCGAGGTGCAGGTGATGGAGACTCGTAAGACGAAGCTCGGCGTCGATCATCCTGACACGCTGACGAGTATGGGCAATCTGGCGTCGACGTATAGGAAGCAGGGCCGGTGGAAAGCGGCAGAGCAGCTCGAGGTGCAGGTCGTGGAGGCTCGCAAGACGAAGCTTAACGCCGACCATCCTGACACGCTGTCCAGTATGAACAATCTGGCGTTGACATATTCGAACCAGGGCCGGTGGGAAGAGGCAGAGCAGCTCGGGGTGCAGGTCATGGAGGCTCGCAAGATGAAGCTCGGCGCCAACCATCCTGACACGCTGTCCAGTATGAACAATCTGGCGTTGACATATTCGAACCAGGGCCGGTGGGAAGAGGCGGAGCAGCTCCAGGTGCAGGTTATGGAGACGAGCAAAACCAAGCTCGGCGCCAACCATCCTGACACGCTAACGGGCATGGCCAATCTAGCGTCGACGTACCGGGAGCAAGGACGGTGGGAAGAGGCGGAGCAGCTCGAGGTGCAGGTGATGGAGACTCGCAAGACGAAGCTCGGCGCCGACCATCCTGATACGCTGACCAGTATGGCCAATCTAGCGTCGACGTTCTGGAACCAGGGCCGGTGGGAAGAGGCCGAGCAGCTCGAGGTGCAGGTGATAGAGGCTCGCAAGACGAAGCTCGGCGCCAACCATCCTGACACGCTGACGGGTATGGCCAATCTAGCGTCGACGTACCGGGAGCAAGGACGGTGGGAAGAGGCGGAGCAGCTCGAGGTGCAGGTGATGGAGACTCGCAAGACGAAGCTCGGCGCCGACCATCCTGATACGCTGACCAGTATGGCCAATCTAGCGTCGACGTTCTGGAACCAGGGCCGGTGGGAAGAGGCCGAGCAGCTCGAGGTGCAGGTGATGGAGACGAGCAAGACGAAGCTCGGCGCCGACCATCCTGACACGCTGACGGGCATAGCCAATCTAGCGTCGACGTATAGGAAGCAGGGCCGGTGGGAAGAGGCAGAGCAGCTCCAGGTGCAGGTCATAGAGATAAGCAAAACCAAGCTCGGCGCCGACCATGCTGACACGCTGACGAGTATGGGCAATCTGGCATCGACATATAGGAAACAGGGCCGTTGGGAAGAGGCGGAGCGGCTCCAGGTGCAGGTCATGGAGGCTCGCAAGGCGAAGCTCGGCGCCAACCATCCTCACGCGCTAACGAGTATAGCAAATCTGGCGTCCACATATAGGAAGCAGGGCCGGTGGGAAGAGGCGGAGCAGCTCGAGGTGCAGGTGATGCTCGCAAGACGAAGCTCGGCGTCGATCACCCTGACACGCTGACGGGTATAGCCAATCTGGCTCATACCCTTAGGTCATCGGGGCAACAAACAGCTGCTTTGCTGTTAATGGCAAAATGTTTCCAAGTTCGTGACCGTAAGCTAGGACCTGATCATCCGGATACTGTGTCTGCCCAGTCTGCTTTAAACAAATGGCATGGGAATGGTGACTCCGTATCTTCACCTCCCATTGAAGTGCCGACTAAAAACAAAGAGAGTCAATCCTAGTCAGCTCCACAAAGGCCTCAGAGCGAGGGGTTGAAACTGGCCGACATCGTAGGCGCAACATCTTCTCGCGCCTCTTTAGCGGAAAGTAGGGGACCCTCTTTCAATCGCTCTGGAATAGACCTTGGCTTAGTGATCCGCTTTCTAAAGAAATATCAGACTAATAAATTGAATCGAAGATCGCATTTACTGATAAAAAAAACGCCTCCCGTAAGAAGGTCCATGAAATATCCCGTTCAAGTTAAGTAAGAGAGAACCTTGCGACATATTGGCTGGAATGTTTATGTCCGGTGACTACGTCTCCACAGTCAAACCCGCATGCCGGAAATGACCCTCTGCGCTTTCCACTCTTGCACTAACCGTGTCAACACACCATTCGAGGAAGGTATCGAATCCTTGGTCCGGATTTTCCTCGTAGGAATGCCAATATCGCCGAATAAAGGCTTTTAGCTCCGCAAAGAACTCCTCAATAGGGTTTAAGTCCGGAGAATATGGTGGCAAATACACCAACTTCATACCAGCTCTAGAACACATGTGATCTATTCGATCGGAGTGGTGAAATGATGCGTTGTCCATAACTAATACAGAATTTGGCTCGGGCCATTTCCCATAATTCAGGAGAAGCTGCTCGATAAAATCTTCGAAGACGGACGCATCGGTCGAGCCCCGGAACACTCGAGTGAAAACAATGCTATCTTGAGCATAGGCAGGTAGTATCTGATATCGTTGATCACGATGGAATTTGGATACTTGAATCGGCGCTATCCCCAGGGGGGGACCAACCCGTTCGCCTAAAACCTATCCTTTTATTATATCCAGATTCATCCACATAGACAAGGTGATACGACTGGAAATCCGAGATAAAGTGGGAATATTCATCACGGACGTCGAGATTACGTTCCTTAGCCTTGACTCGTGCAGCTTTTTTTGACCAGCCTTTGGATAGAAGCGCGCGACTGATGCTGGACTTCGTTGCCCGAACATCAAACTCATCCCACAGAAAGATGGCCATCTCATCAAGGTACAGAGTGGGCTTTTCGAGCAGGTGATCACAAAGGGCTTCGAGCATAAATGGAGTGATACTTCGTGGTCTACCGCCTTTATTAGGCGGTGCTTTGACGCTGCCGAAGGTTCGTATGTTGGAACAGATTCTCAGGATCGTACGCTTGCTGCAGCCAGCAGCCTGTGCCATCTGCGATACAGACAGTTCTCTACTGCGGATCATGTCATCAATAAGCTCATGCTTTGAAGGGGCCAGGTTAGGCGCCATCTTGGTGTGACCACTTGGGATTAATTGAAGTTCTGCGGATACCAAGAGACGATGGTTTTCGATGTGGGGTATCGAGGTGTCCGTTGTATTGAAGTTACAAGGGGATACACTCTGCTCACGTCCTGGTTCTCTGTGTAAGAAATAAATACACGCTCCACTGACAGGGATACTCCGGAAAAACTCCTCATACATGCTAGCGTATCTTGGCAATTAGGGTTCGAGAAACAATCGAAGAGTGTACGTGGTGACACCAATTTCGGGACGTACTGTACAGTCTGCATCCTGTACATTCCGGAAGGTCGGGATCCTGTAATCTTCGAGTGACCGGTACCTGATCGAAAAGGCGGGAAACGATTTACTTAGCTACGGTTAAGACTATTGTGATACAAATTTGTTGTTGTATACCGAGCGGGAACTAACCCCGGCCCGATAGCGGACCCACTAGCGGGGCCTCCCGAGATTCCTCCTATAAACCCAGAACGCACTACTAAAATATTCTCGGTTAAGGACTTTGAACCACAGATTATCCCTTATAAGAGAAGATAGCCTCGTTAGGGAGACGAGTTCGTTAGTACACTACGGTTAAACCCTAAGTTTGTAGGAGAGTCTATAGGACGAGTGACTACTAAGGAAGTATAGAAGCTATTGGAATATAGACCAATGCTACATAGAAAGATCTATCCTTATATTCAACATATAAGACCAGATTGCATTGATCACGTGACCAGATTTTTCTTCTATCAAAATGATATGTTGACCACTTCTGATTCTGGTCCGCGGCCCTCCCCCGAACGATAGGCGGGACCATTTTCCTTTAGGGGTAAATGGTCCGCCTTCAAGCATGAATGGTCCGTTCCTTCGGGGGTGCTTTCGGGCATGCCTTGCCCGCGGACTTCGACCATGGTCTTCGGACCCCGGTGAACAGACTTCGACCCTCGGTCCCCTTAAGGATAGGCGGACCACTTTCCCTTAGGGGTAAAATGGTCCACCTTTAGGCATGCATAGCCTGATCCTGCGGGGGTGCTTTCGGGGTGGCTTAGACCGTCGATCCTTGACATCATTCTTTTCGCTTCTCTTCGGTTCCCTTCTTTGCCACCTTCATTATGTTGCTGCCTAGTGTTTGTACGTCATTTGTATGTTATTCTAGACGTCATTTCTAGGCTATCCTAGCCTATAAATACGTCCTTCTTGTCTAGCAGATAGAATCAAGTCAGTTCTACTTTCCTGAAGTCAGTTCTACTTTCCTGAAGTCAGTTCTACTTTCCTTAAGTCATTGTCCACTTTCAAAAGTCATCTCTACCTTCTTCTATCCTTCTTCCTTTGATCCTCAGGACTGTGGTTCTGCCTTCGTTTAGGCTATATCTGCTTATAGTCTATCCTACGACCTTTGACCTTCCACCTTTGTCTGGCACTGACTGACCCAGCCGGACTAAGGTTGATCCCACGGACTTAAGGGGCCACGATCTGCTTCGTGGTAGCTTTCCCCTTATATCCCAACAGAAGCTTATTAATACGCTAAAAGATATTATTTACTATTAAACTATACTTATCGAATCTACCTAAAGCGAACTTTAAGAGATTAAATATAATTAGAATATACTCTAAGAGCAAAATAAGAAGCTCTAGGAGAAGGTATAGGCTTTATAAACCTAACTTAAAGTACTCCCTTCGGTACCTTTAGCCAAATTATAAGCCGCTATAATTACTAAGGATAGTAACCTAGCCCCCCTAACGGATCTATTAGCGGCCTAAGAAGAATTAGAACTATATCCGAATTAGCACCTAGCGATCGTTTATAGATCTAAGGGATAATAATAATAGTAATAGTAATACCTTTAAATAATACCTATCTATAGACTTAGCTAATAACTATATCCGAACGGCTTTATTAAGTATACTATTTACGTAAGATACCTAAGTCGCTAGAATTAGTATTACTAAGACCGGATATATAATCTATTTTAAGAATATATTATTAGCCGAAGCGACCTATAATAATACCGAATAGTTAAACGAACTAAGAAATAATATAAAGCTAGTTAAGCCACGATTTAGTATTATTATATACCGTACCCTAACTAAGGACTTTAATCTAGAGAATATAAATTTATAAGTAATTAAGAAAATTATAGAAGAGAACGAATTAATCGATCGAGGATTCCGGATCGAAGAGGTAGCGTAGCTTAAGAAGAAAAATAAGATATTAGGAAAGTTTACGTCGCTTAGGATCTAGTTTAACTTAGCTAAAGGGACAGACTTAATCCTAGATAAAGGGTTCCTTATAGGCTAACGGTATATTAGTAATATAGAACACTATAAGATTAAGAAAAAGAGATACTTTCGCTACTAACGCTTCGGATATTTAGCGTAGTTATATAAGGAGACCCTATAATATAGCTATTATATTAGTTAATATCTACGCGAATACTGCTTACCTAGCGTACGACTATAATACCTTAACTATAGTAATATATACCTAATCGGAGACCGCTAATATCGAACTCTAGCGACTTTTAATCTCTCCTAATATTAGAAACGAAACTATATATACTATAGTTAAATATTATAAAGTCCGGGCCGAGGATAAAAGCACTTATTAATAACTACTAATCTTAAAAGTTAGATATACTTTTAATCTAAGAGCTATTAATAACTACCTACCGAACCTATATAAACTATAGCGCCTAGCGGTTATATTAGCTTATTATTAAGAGCGACGCGACCTATTTCTGTAGCCTAATCTATATTAACCGGAAAGTGTTGACTTTATCCTATTGATAGATCCCTTATAACTATCTAGATATAATAGCTATTAAGATTTAGTTAGCTAATTTATAAATCCTTCTTTTCTTAGTCTATATATTACCGGTTCTACTATATATACCTAATAAGGCCTCGATATAAGGAGTGCTATTAGCGATTTAAGATATTATTTAAGCGACCTCCGTCTCTAAAAGATTTACTATAATAATACTATTATGGGACTTTAACCGATATTACCCTATATAGGGTAGAAACTATATTAAATTACGATTTATCGAAGATATAAGCGAACTTATAGATTTCTTTTAGGTATACGGCCTCTACGGCTACCTCCCCTAAGGTACCTTAACCTTTTAGTCCTTAAGTTATCTAGGAAGAATATCTACTATCGATTAAATTATAATAGACTAATCTAGCCGGCTTATTAAATATTATCTCTATTACGATAATTATGGCTCGGACTACCGAGTAATATATTTAGAATAGAACCTATTGGAATATAGACCAATGCTACATAGAAAGATCTATCCTTATATTCAACATATAAGACCAGATTGCATTGATCACGTGACCAGATTTTTCTTCTATCAAAATGATATGTTGACCACTTCTGATTCTGGTCTGCGGCCCTCCCCCGAACGATAGGCGGGACCATTTTCCGTTAGGAGTAGATGGTCCGCCTTCAGGCATGAATGGTCCGTTCCTTCGGGGGTGCCTTCGGGCATGCCTTGCCCGCGGACTTCGACCATGGTCTTCGGACCCCGGTGAACAGACTTCGACCCTCGGTCCCCTTAAGGATAGGCGGACCACTTTCCCTTAGGGGTAAAATGGTCCACCTTTAGGCATGCATAGCCTGATCCTGCGGGGGTGCTTTCGGGGTGGCTTAGACCGTCGATCCTTGACATCATTCTTTTCGCTTCTCTTCGGTTCCCTTCTTTGCCACCTTCATTATGTTGCTGCCTAGTGTTTG